AGGTACGGGAGAAGTCGAAGCGCTTGTTCCGCGGGGGTAGGTGTTTATGTTCCTCTCATGCTATCAAAGTTTGTGGTGTAGCCTTGTTCCCAGGCCTACCTGCTATGGAATACCTCTACTGGTCATCTTTTCACTTATCGCTAACTCTTGCAGTCACCTACTTATCCCCAGTCAAGACTATCAATAGCTACAGTACCCTGTTTCTCTTTCTTTCTCTCCTATCCTTACCTTATCCAAAACTGTAGTCGCCTACTTATCCCCAGTCAAGACTATCAATACAGGCCACACTCTCTCCAACTCATCCATCCTCCATTCCTCCTATATACCCATTAACACAATCATGCACACTACGATCACAAACACTTAGTGAAGTCTTCAGCGTCTAGTACGCATGTATTCTGGAGCCAGGCTTCCGGGCCAGTTTGTCACCACAAGTGTTGCAACAAAAAAAAGCACTTGCCTCAGCTACTGTGTTAGAGACTGTTGGTATGTATGCTTTATGGCATGGAAGCAAAGGGAGCATCACAGTGTCCATGAAGCTAGTACAGTAGGTCTAGACACTCTCTGTTTTAAAGGGAAAAACCTGTGTCCGTCAGCCAAAACCGGACTCTGAGGATTCTGTGGATTTTTACAGTAGTACATTTTGTATGTGTGTCCAACTGTGCAACCCAAAGAGTTAACAGTCACAGTAATGCTACATGATCTGTGAATATGTTGCTAGTCTGTACGCTATCCTGTGCCATATAGGAAGAGGATTCAGACAACGTCCAGCTACATCTACGACACTCTGTTCATGAAGGGAGTCAATGCTGACGTCACTATTGCCGCTCTCGGTGAGGCCTTATTATTATTATATAGCTGGATTTTTCCGTTTTAGCAGCAAATTTTAGGTGAAGTTTCATGTAGATAATGTTATAGCACACAAATTTTCATGTGTTCACCCTCGCACATGCTAGTTGTTCAATCCATGTTTTTTTTCAGGGATATTAAATTGTACTAACTATGGGGTAGAACTAATAGAAGTGTGGCCAGCAACTCTTTTTTTATGCACAGGGAAGGAATGGAAAATGCACAGACTCTACCTTTGCCAGGTGAGGGGAAGTTGCTAGTTACTTCCGAACGAGTGGTGTTTTTAATCTTGCAACCCACACACGCACGCACACACGCACACACACACACTGTCTCTAGTCGGGGTATTTCTCGGGGATGTTCAGTGGTAGTTGGAAGGAGAGCGAGGAACACAGAGTATCGCTAGATATTCCTGACCCCAACATCACCACAGAAGGTTTATACAAACCTACTATATATAATACATACACATCGCAAGATTTATCTCGGAAAGTGCATTGGACGATAACTTGCGACATATACACCCACCGTGAACACTTTGTGTTGGGATCTACACACAAAAAGTGGGTGTGGTACATTAGTAGTACATGAATGCAGAGCATTTTTTGCCTATATTATAGTGGGTGCAAGAAAATTTTCGAACGCTATTTTGAAGCGCATATTCAAACACGTGTGCAGTTGGAAAGAATACCAGAATCCCACCTGGGCGCGACGGAGGGTATAGCTATGCCAAAAAGATACTTTCAGCATGTTTCAATTGTGGTTGTGCACGCAGCGCACAACTCTAATATTCATTTCTACTCTTCCCATGCCATGGACCTGGCCTTCAGCTCCCTGTATAGAGACGAGGTCCACATGTCGGCCACCGACATCACTAGTACCGTGGCCGCTGCAGCCATGCTACAGATGGTTAGCATGTACACATACCATGTTAGCATGAAATTATAGTTCATCGCATACCAGCCATAGGTATATATAGATAGATACGTAGATAGATAGAGAAATAAATAGGGCTAGGGCTAGGGCATGTGAGATAACCTACACTCTTGTATACATAGTGTGTCTGTTGCGGCAGCTAGTTCTCGCACACTGAGAATGAATATTCTAATGCACGAAGTGAAAATTAAACTACAGTTTTGTTTTCCACAACACCTAATGGGGAAAATTGATTCAATTCCTTAGGATGGGCTACTGGAGCACTGTCGAGTCTACATGAGAGAAACTATGAGGTACATACATACACACACGTAACTTTACGTAATATTTTGTGACGTAACCTTACGTAATATTTTGTGAGATAACACATACTAACAAGAAAGTAGAGTAGTTATATGTTGCATATACAGTGGAACCTCCTGTTAATAGTTAAAGCTAAATACTTATCTGCTTAATCGAAACCACTTGAAATCCCCAGGCAATATAACAATAATACAAAAGGTTATGTTATAGTGAAATTCCTTTGAACGTTTTGGCGGTAGCCTGGGGGTTCTGTTTGCGGCGTACGGTCGTATAGCCGCGGTTATATCGGAGGGTTGGACCTGTCGTTGTTTCTTCGGAGGGGGGGGAATGGTGGGAGCGGGAAGAGGGTTGGCGTCTAGGCTCGACGGGTGGCGGGTTGGCTTATGGATGATGTGGTGGTTGGTTCGTTCGTTTGCCCTCTTCTGTGAACGGATTTGGTCCCACGTTTGCGGCTGTAGGACTGGTGCGTTTGACTGGGTGTTGGGAGTTCCCTCGCCCTCATGCCTTGTGCCAAGAAATTATGACGGTTAATTCCGTGCGTCTTGATGTCTAATCTCGCTGATGTGTTGATCACCTCTTGGGTTTTTGTCTTTTTTTGTCTTTTTTTTTTGTCGTTCCTTTTTTTTTTCTATAAATGGATACTATTGCGTATATTATGATGTAAATATGTCACTATTGTCCTCCCTGCAGACCTGATTTACAGTTGTCACTACACTGACACGTGCCTCATCTCTCACGGTCTAACGAAGTGGATGCGGGAGTGAGTACATATGTACACATACACACATATGTACGTACATCTCTAGCTGTGTAATGTAGAAATAAGGTACAAAATTGAATTTTAGGGGATTTGAGAGAGCCTACACGAAATATCTTCCTACGAAGTTTTGCGTGCGGAATTTACAGTGGGACTTTCATTCTTATTTACCACCAAATTAATTTCTTTGTCACAGGTCTCTTAAAACTTAACCAGCCACGGACACATACACGTGTCAGCGCCTCTCATGCGTCAAAACACTTTATGGGAGTTATAATACTAGGCGCTAATACTTTATACATCAATTTATTCTTATGTAAGCAGATACCCGTGGCGTCCAAAGGGTTAAATCCACCGCTCCATTTTGTCTACTGCTCTGTCTGTGTATTAGGTGCGAGGAATGGCTGAAGGTGAATGTGGTGAAGAATCACACGATTGATTTACTCAAAACACTCACGTAAGTTGGCAACACCTTTTGGTCATTTGGTACCAGAACATCACTTCAAATAATGTTACTGCTACATACATTGCTGCAAGCTACGGTATACAAACTCTACAATGAATGAACGCATTATTGGCTTGCGAATGCGAATACAGAATTTCATATTTCATTAGAGCATGCACAGAAAACTGTTTACATGCTAACATAAAATTGTCCCCTAATGAACAGCTACAGTATATACATCCGTGTAGGTTGCTTGCTTGATGATTGCTAATATTATTGTATACAATAACTCGTTCCTAGAGCTGGGAAAATGGAGGAGCTGATTTCGAGTCACGATCTCTTTGTCCTCCAAGTAGAGATGGACGTCTACACTATGGCCAAGAGAGTGAGTCACACACAAAACTGGGCCAACGGAGATTTTTTCTGCGTGATTATACCGATTTTTTAAACGATTGTTTGCCGTGCAAATGTGCAACTTGTAGTGTGGAATTACAGTTGGGGTTGGCGCTGGTGTAAGCCAAGTGGTCAAGTGATTGAGGTTTCAATCCAAAGAACTGTGGTGTGCTGGTGCTTATAGCTGTACCGTTCTGCAGCAGAATTATTGTATTCGCAAGCACCTGCATTTGTGGTGGTTTGCATGAGCAAGCGCAAGCTGTTCAACATTTCGCGTGCGTATGTAGAATCACGTATGTAGAACATTACGGTATGTGCAGTGCCCGACAGAGCCGTCACATAATTATATGTATAATAATATAGATAACAATTACATAGACGTCTATATGCATCATCCTGGCTGTAATTGATTCCCTATGTCAATGTGCACACACCACACACAGTGGCTGTATCTGGTGCTCCATCCTGATACCTCAGTCGCACTAGACACAGTCTCTGAGGCTGCTGAGGACTACTTCAGACACCAAGGTACCACTAGTCTCTGTAACGCGCCAATTTCGTGCAGGAAAAATCGGCTGGCCAGCAAGATTTACATACATACACACATGCACTAGTCTTACGGTCGAGTTTAAGCTTGAAATTCGGCTGACCTGCAACAGTTACGTACTGTATGTGCAGCACTAGTCTAGAGAGCACAGTGTAGTGGATTGAGTCCCACCTACACTTTATGTCCTAGTTGAATTGTCTGATGTGCACTCACCTTGTGTTTACACTCTCCCTGATTACTGCACTTAACTCTTTTGCTCTTTTGCACATACTTAGTGGCGCAGAGACGGTAGCTTGTATATGCACTATGCCATTCAGACGACTAGGTGTACATATATTTGCTTTTGCTTACTGTGACACACTCTCTCTCTCTCTCTACAGAGACGTGGTTTCTGAAGACAGAGGAAGGACAGCAATACTGTCCAGTTTTCAGAGCTCTCAGACTCCAGCACATCATGAATGACATCGCCTCCATTCGCCTACTGGAAGCCGACCACATCGTGCCTCACGGTACGTGTTAGCTTCAGGTCTACATCATAATGACATCGCCTCGATTCACCTATAGAATGGCTGTATCCTCTCTACAAGAAGCAGTGGCAGACTATGTGCATGGTAGAACAGAGACTAGAGCATGGGTAAGGAAACTGTTATACCTTTGGCAGAAAGGACCCCTAGCTTTGTGCGTCTTGGAAATGAAGCAGGAAGAGCAAGCAAAGGGAAGAAGAGGGAGAAAGAAGAGGGGAGAGGGAGCTCTTTTGCTTCATTCATACCCTCTAGATTTATATGCCCCTTCGATCCCCCTGCAAAAAGTTGGTGTCCCTATTTTGTCACCCCTCCCAGTCTGATAATGTGTCTAACTACATATGTAAAAAGATGTGGATATTGAGGTCTTTTGTGTTTGCAGACCGTTCAAGTTGACAGAGAGTCAGTTTAATGAGTGCTCGTTTCGCTGCGGCCGTGTTCTCCATGACAATATTGAGGTACAGTATACACATACACACTTACCAGCCGTATCAGCAGGCTGACTTCTCTCTCCCTGTTTCTCTATCTCTCTACTCATTCTTCCTCTCTCCTCTCTCTCCTCTCTCTCCTCTCTCTCCTCTCTCTCCTCTCTCTCCTCTCTCTCTCTCTCTCTCTCTCTCTCTCTCTCCTCTCTCTCCTCTCCTCTCTCCTCTCTCTCTCCTTTTTCTCTCGACCCCCCCTCTCTCTCTTTTTCCTCCCTGTTCCTCTATCTCTCTACTCATTCTTCCTCTCTCCTCTCTCTCCTCTCTCTCCTCTCTCTCTCTCTTTAACTGCAGTATTGCTGGAGATGGACAGGGTATTTCTATGGAGTGGATATTATCATCACCTACTATCCTAACACTGGGTATGATACAGCATCTTCGACGAGTGGAAAATTTTATCCTTTCTCCCTAACTCAAAAGATTGACAGGCAAATGCATATTTTAGCAGCTTTTAGGCATTGACATTGACATCTACAAAAAACTACTCAAGATGTCTAGGGTGGTTCGTATCTCTCTCTCTCTCTCTCTCTCTCTCTCTGTGCAGTCATCTCTCAGTGAAGAGAAACACGAAGTCCCTGTCATGTGATACATCTGTCAGTCTCCAGCAGATAAGGAAAATTGTCATGAGGTTCGGCCAAAACTGATACTCTGCAACCAACAGGGGCTGTTTATGCTTAAGCTAAACTTTATCTAATGTTGTTCCTAATCAAGGAACAACTCCTTGAAGGTTGCTTATCCAAAATAAAAACTGCTAGAATTAGGAGTTTTTCTTGTTCGGCTATAAACTGTAGCAGTATGTGGTGGTTTTAATGATGATCTTGAATGTTGCTTGGCTCCTCAGATTAAGGGCTGTGTCGTTAGGTTCACAGAGTGAAGTGACCTTTAGAGAAGATACTGACTTCTCAAACTCACCCTCGGACAAGATGAGGTTAGCCCTCTCCCTCCCCCCTCTCTTCTCTCCCCTCTTTTTCCCCTTTGTGCTTCATTTACCTCTCATTTCTTCATTTGTCTTATCTCTCAAAGCCAGCATGCACAGCGCATAATTTTGTTGTTGTATAGGACAATAGTTTCGTGTTGGTATGATTGGTCCACACCACATGTTGCCTCTACTGTGCTTTTCCGCTCGAGGATGATGTCACTTCCTCACGGCAGTAAAAAAAAAAACTCTAATGCCGCTACCAGTTTGGCTCCTGACTCATCCTTTTTTCCTCCAACTGTGATTGTAATAGACAAAATTTCATCCAACGTTGCATGTATATACCATCATGATTTTTCTTGTACAATAAGTTGTTTCTCTTTGCCTTCAGTCTTTCTCCCTCCTTTGCAGGAACACTCACTTCCAAGACTCGGCAATAACTTTACCTTCCCTCTCTACATCAGCGTCAATATGGCCCTCACCTCGAACGATTCTGACAATTCATAGTGATATCACCATTACGTCATGTTCTATTCATTCCCCCCTGGTGTCTGTATTCTTTTTTTGTGACTTCTCCGTGTTTTGCCCGTGTACTCACATGATACTATTGAAAAAACAGAGTTTTTGCCGGGAACAGGCGGTCGCGTACCAGGGTGGCCGAGTGGTTAAGGCGTTGGACTTAAGTTCCAATGTGCGTATGCACACATGGGTTCGAACCCCATTCCTGGTATATGGGACCCTGGCGACGTCGTTTTTTTTCGACTTGTTTCTCTTTTTCCTCCCTTTCTCTTCTATTTTCTAGTGTAAAATACTCTTTTCCTCCACACTGGGCAACCTCGCGTTCTTTTTACAGCGTTTTCCACGTTTGCACAAGTTGTGAGGTCGTAGGTCATTTCCATAGCGACGTTTGTTGATACCCCGTTTGCGCATGCGCACAGCGCGCGTGGGTAGGACGCTGCTGCAGTTTTGCCGCTTTACGTTCTTTTGCTTTTCGGAGTCTTGGCGGCTTTCGCAGGTGCTCAGAGAGTGTTGGTTGATCTGTTCTTCATTGCAACGAAATCCGGAGGAAAACAGAGCGAAGATGGGAAATTGTCAGAGTTGCAGAGTAGGGGGAGGGGCTTGGAGACCGACCGCTCGCAGGTATATACGTGCCATAGCATCTTTCTCTTTTCTCTCTCATCTGGCTCTCTCGGTGTACGTGCAGAGAGATCACTCTCCTGCTACTGGGTCTTGATGGAGCTGGAAAGTCGACCATCCTTGCCAACCTCATGGAAGGTCTGCTACACTTCTAGCTGTCTAGCTCAATAGAAATTGCTGTATGAATGCACTAGCTCAATAGCACTAGCTACAGGCATTTGTCTTGCTGTGATAGCTGATTACACTTGGAACGTAAGATGATAGTCTGTCTGGGTGCAAGGTCTGCAGAAGTCGAATTGGGAAGTATATACGTCTTGAGCTATATGTAGGCTGCGTGCTGAGAAATGAAAATGCCTTGTGGGGAATACACATGTCCATTGATGATGTTAAACATTGTGACAAGTTTGAATTAAGTAGCTATGTACTGTGTGTACTACGCTGTGTTTCCAGAGGACGCGGAGGATGTTCTGCCGACCATCGGGTTCGCCAATGCCACCACAACTCTTGCCAACTGCCACCTCAAGCTGTTTGATGTGGGAGGAGGCCCCAGAATAAGAGGCATTTGGAAAAACTACTACGCCCAGGTTCATACCGTGCCATTATAGCAGGTTTATTAAAGGGAATGTGTCAGTACGTAAGGGCTAATTTTAGAACTACGTATATAAACAAAAAGACCCAGTGCAAGAATGCAATTACGTTTCCATTTTCACTAACAGTTTCTAAATGTAGCCCTTATATACACTGCCACATTCCCTTTAAATACAGTAGAACCCTCTCTAAGGGCACCCCTGAAATGAGGAGGACACCTCAATAAGGACACCAAGTTCTTGCATTAAGGACACCTCACTAACTTTATTCCGTCCCATTGTTGTCTGGATTGGAGGGGTTTCACAACATCCAACGACAGAGAAAGCCAACAAAACATCTGCAAAGTTGGATCTGAATGAGCTGCATCATAGTATATACTCGTAATACCATGTTCTTCAATATACCCTCAATGCAGTCTCATGGCATCATATTTGTGGTGGACGCTGGGTCACCTGACAGACTGAACGAGGCCAGACAGGTCCTCAGTGGGGTGCTACAAGAGGAGACAGTGGCGGGGAAGCCCCTGGTGATATTGGCTAACAAGCAGGACCAGCCGGGGGCTCTCGGGACGGAGGAAGTGAGAGAGAGACTCGGATTGGACACTCTCTTGAATGAGAACCAGCAGCAACGCATTAGAGTGGTGAGCTAACAGCATCAAATCATTACATGTGAGCGTATCAAGTAAAAATAGGGGCTATGACACACAGGGACAAGTTTGAGTTTGTGTATGAATTACGTAGTACAACGAATAGAGAATTTGCATGCGCGATATGGAGACGATTAGCCACACCAGAACCGGGCGAGAGCATTACGGGCAACGCGCATTGCGCTCTATGTAAGGGATTTCCCCTCCGCCCGTGTATGGCTCGTACTATACTCGCGTATACAGGGAAACATTATAATGTGGCGTACACCCTATTTTTACTTGATGCGTTCACACATAGGTGGAGGGTTTGAACTGTTGCAGTGCCGTATGCCGAGTTTCATTCTCATCTTTTTCTTTTCCTCCTAATTCTCACTCATTCCAATGCACTACGTTGCTCATAAGTAATGTACAGTGTACATATACTGCAGTAGAACCTCTGATATAACACTCGTGTATTAGGACACAATAGAAAACAAAACCTCTGAATAAAGGCCACACTTGAGGTTCAAAACGTTGACTTTTCTTTTAATCTCCATAATGAGAGCTTTAAAAGACAAAATTCCTGCTCCCAGCATGTCCATTATTCGGAGGGTCCACTATTACAATGCTCAAGTATGGGAAACAAGGCCTTTGCCAATTCAGACATCCAGTTCCCAACATAGCAAGTCAATGTGCCTCCTTCGTAATTTGTGAAGTGGAACTACGTATTATGCTGTGTTTCAAGCCCTTCTTCTCTGTGGCAGGTTGGGTGTGTGGGACTGTGTAACAGTGATGGGGGGAGGAGGGGGAGGACACAAATAGTGAGGGGAGTGGGGAGAGTGGTGAGGGAGGTGAGGGGGAGATGGGGTGACCTGGGAGAGAGGGTGGGGAGGGACACGGACCGACAGAGGGAGCGCCAGGAGAGGGAGAGGGAGGAGAGGAAGGAGAGAGTTCGCAGAATCAGGGAGGAGAGAGAAAGGTGAGTATGTATATACCACATACAGCAGCAATAGAAATGTCAGTAAACCACATTCAGCACAAATCTCTGGTGAGAAAAAACTTTTTTCTGTCAACATCTAATTTCTTTCATTTGTGGGCCTCAATTTTTGCCCCTTGAAAAAAGTTAGCAGATCACATGAGCTATAGGAAACATTTTTACATGTACCTACAACAACGTACATGTGCCCAATGAAATTTCTCTGCTCTATAATAGTATAGTATGGAGACCCATATAGTACTGTGTTGTTTGTATGTATTTCTCCAGACAAGCTGCGTTGCAGAAAGGGCTCTCCAGCAATGGCGTGGAGGGAAATGAGGAGAATACTCCCGTTAACCCCTTCAAACCCATATCGGTATGCAATAAAGGGGTTAAAAGTGGTTGGGATTACTTACTGTATGTTGATCGCCGGATGAAAGTATACTGTACGTGACAGCTGCATGTTGGTCACTGCCTAATAAGGCAAGGCTGGGAGCTGGCCGCCACACTAGTTAGGCAACTGGTGTGTGGTGTGTGTTTGGTTGCCGTGCGCTGCGTGGCGTCTCAGGAATGTCCTCTAACAACTCGGTTTGCACACAACAGCACACAACATGGTGTTAGCCAACTTCAGCTGGCACTTCCCTGATCCCGACACAGCTATAAGTACAGCAGAAGACTTTTGAGAATTTCATGATTCAGTCGCAAACATATATGATTTCCATGGAGAGAATCGCGGTTGCTGTCCGTTGATGCAGCATAGTGACTATAGGCACAAAACTTCATGTCTTGGTGGGTGGCTGGAAATGCTCATCGGTAGAAATGCGATGACGTGAGCATTTTCTGTTGCTGAATGTTTTGGGGTTTTTTTCAATTGGTTAATGATGGGCTAATGATGGGATGTCCGGTACGTACATCGTGTGTTGAATGCAGAATTTGGCTCAGAGTTGCTCAACCGTAGTCGGTACACAGCTTCCAAGTCCGAGCCACCTGGCTTAGCTGTACGTTGCAGCTGAGCCTCGAGCATGCAATGCTTTGCCTATTAATTGCTACATACAAACATATGTAGTGTACTAGTTCAAGCCAGTAGGTGGCTTAGTTAGTTGAGTCCTCCCAATGTTCTACTGTTGCTCTTTGTTTCCAACTGTGTGTGACGAGCAACAAGTGTTCTTTGGGTACGTATGGAATAGATGGTAGTCACCTGATCTTACGTATGCATGAACCTCTGTCTAGGTTTTATTGAAATCTCAATCTACGCACTCAGTTGTAAAAGCCCCGTATGCTTGTTCAGGAGGTGGTGGCAGAAGCGACAGAGCGAGAGGCTAGAGCCAAGGAACTGAAGAAGAAGAAGAGCAAGGAAGCAGCGAAAGGAGATCAGGAGATGAAAGTACCGGAGGAGGCGGACGGTGAGGGGAAGGCAGAAGAGCAGGAAGAAAGGAATGATCAACAGACAACTTCTGCACTCGCTGAAGACCAATCTGTGTGGGTATACATTATGGCCATATGCCCCAAACACCAATTATCGCTCCCAGCAGAACTGTGGTCATATGTATCTCAAACATTAATGAAGTTTAATTTCTCCCACCACAAACAGTGCATGTGGTTGTATTTCCTGTGTGCCCACAAATGCATACACATTTCATACTTACATACATACACGTCTCAACAACTTTGTAACGAGGTAGAAAGGCAAGGCAAGGCAAATAAGTCAACTACACCCAGGACAGCCTTTCTTTTCAAAGAATAGACGAAGAGCTGCCCTGGGTAAGTCAACTACACCCAGGACGGCCTTTATTTTCAAAGAATAGAAGAACAGCTGCCCTGGGTGGGATTCGAACCCACGACACTCTGTAGTCTAGGCGAGTGCTCTACCAACTGAGCTACCAGGGCAGCTCAGCTGGTAGGGGTTCGAATCTACAACACCACACAACACAAGGCAAACCTCATGCCATTACATATGATGTGTTGGTTACCACGGGCACGGGATACTACATATGTTCACTAGCTTGCACATACTGTACGTGGCTAGTTGCAGTAGTTGCACGATTGACGATTGCAAACCCTGCTAATGACTGATACATGTTACTATAATTATGTTGCAGTGCCCAGACAGGACAGCATGAGCCCTCGAATGCTGTCCTGTCTGGGTACTGCAACAGATTTGTTGGATATCCCTAGGCAAATGACATGTATGAACCCTGCTTGCATGTGTAGGATTGTGTAGGCTGATAAAATCCTCCAGTACCTAGCTTCATACATGTCGCTTGCCTAGGGATATCCAACAATTACTAGTACAGTAGCTGAGAGCTATGTATGTACGTATATGTTATAGCTTTGACTGTGGCATACAACACACGTGAGCCTCGTTTGCTGTTGTGTGCCACTGATATTGAGTTTTCATCACAGAACTACGTGTATTGTTGCCTGTAGAGCTAGTAAAACTTGGCATTATCATGGGTTGGGAATGTAAGGGAAACAAGGCAATAGGAGTTTTCAACCAGCCTGCTAGTGGTCCAAATCTGTGACCAACCACCTTTCCAGGAAAGCCTTCTATTTGCTTGTTTATCAACAATATCGCTTTATGTAAATCTCACCACAAGGGTCCTTGATAGACCGTTTATCATGCTCTTGCTACAAGCATAGCACGAACAAAAACACACACATACACACTTGCAAGAGATGATAAACTAGAGAGATTCCCAAATCAGTCACTCTCTCCTCTCTCTCTCTCTCTCTCTCTCTCTCTCCTCTCTCTCTCTCTAAAACTGTTCACAGGAGAAGAAAAGGTGAAACCAAGGCAGCTGGTGACGCGGTAAACCACCACTCACCAGTCTTATCCAGTGGTAGCGAGGGAGAAGTGTCTAGTGGACTATCTACCAGCAGCTCTGACTCCCTCACACATGTATGTGTATATATTATGTGTGTTCGTTTCCATGGTAATCAGTTAGAGCTAGCTACAGCTACATACAGCACAGAACTATAGGGGAACCTCTCTCTAAGGACACCTCTCTAAGGACACCCTGAAATGAGGACACCTATCTAAAACACCCTGAAATGAGGACACCTCTCTAAGGACACCCTGAAATGAGGACACCTCTCTAAGAACACCCTGAAATGAGGACACCTCTCTAAGGACACCCTGAAATGAGGACCCCTCTAAAACCCTGAAATGAGGACACCTCTCTAAGGACACCCCTGAAATGAGGACACCTCTCTAAGAACACCCTGAAATGAGGACACCTCTCTAAGGACACCCCTGAAATGAGGACACCTCTCTAAGGACACCATTTCTTTTAGTTCTTGAACCTCTAGAATACATGCATTGGTGTCTGGGTTAGACACCAATGCGTGTGTGCATGCATTTTCTCGTTAGTTTATGCGCAGTATAAAAGAATGTAAATACAGACAATAGAAAGTGTCCTTGTTAGTGAGTTTTCCAGAATATGAGTTGCTCGCTTACACATGCACCTGCGAAGAATACATTTGTATCGAAACAAAAATCTCCACTGCACAGGCTATTATTAGCTTGAACCGAGCTCTCCTAACCGTTCTCCTTTGTGCCCTGAAGGTGACGGTAGCCAGCAAGGAAGAGGAAACCTCTCTTACGTCCGAGTCACTCGGACCACCCCTGACCACGCCTCCTGCACAGTCTGTTGCCATGGCGACCACACGACAAACGACGGAGGGAGTAGAGGCGAATGAACGGCGAGACGGCAGACGAGATGAAGAGAAAGTGAGTGTTGTTTACTGGCGGGACCCTAGTGGGCTAAAACTCACTCTGCCTCCTCCATCACCTTGATTACTAATGCACATCTTACGTTCAGTTCTCTCTCTGCCCACCCTTTGCATACATGGAATCTTTGACGCACACCTACAGTAGTGTCGTGAACGTTTGCTTTCTACAAAACAGACTTTCACATTGTAGCTTGTACTGTGACAACTGAATATCAAGTCTTGTGCCACCTTTTTGCTTTCTATCTGACTAAAATTCTTCCCCCTCCCTCTCCCTCTTCCCCTCCTTTCTCTTCTCTCTTCCCTCCCTCTCCCTCTTCCCTCCCTCTCCCTCTTCCCCTCCTTTCTCTTCTCTCTTCCCTCCCTCTCCCTCTTCCTCTCCTTTCTCTTCCCTCTCTTTTTCCCCTATTCTTTCCTCAGGGTACTGCTAGAGGAATCAGGTCAAAGATGAGCAGATTCAATTTCCTGTCACGACTAAAGAACCGCAATAGAATTGCTCCGTCCACTCAACCAATCACAGCCACCACATCAGATGGTAATGCTTGCATACTGTCAGTAAACTATTAGGATACTGTCAGTATACTACCTCTAGTAGGATACTGTCAGTATACTACCTCAATAAACCCATTGGGATACTGTCAGTATACTACCTCTGTAAACTATTGAGACAATATTACCTCAGTAAACTACCAGGATACTATGCCAGGAAAGGAGCATCGTTTCATTTCTTTCTCTCCCCTTTCTTTGACAGCTCCTGTCTCCTCCCTCATCCCACCACCTCTCACTACCACTAGTGGTAGAGGTCGTTCTACCAGCCAAGGGCTCACGTACCCTGTCACAGCTCAAACCCACCCTACTGTGGCTAATGGAGCCTGGGAGAGAGAGAAAGATGGTGAAAGAGAGAAAGAGGGACATACAGAGTCCATAGCCATGGAGAGTGCTGTTCCCGAGGATAGGGAAGATGTGTTCGATAACATGCCTGAACTACCAAAGACTAGACACACACTTCCTCCGGTACAAGGTACATACATTACGTGTGTCAAGCAAAGCAAAGGCGATCAGCTCAACTACACCCAGGACAACTCTTTTTTTCCAAGTAGTAAAGAAGAGCTGCCCTGGGTGTACACTTAACTTCATTCCCTCTCTCACTCCCTGCTTTCTCTTCTCCCTCCCGCCTTCTCCTTCTTTCCCTCTCTCTCCTCCCACCTTCTCCTTCTTTCCCTCTCTCTCCTTCCTCTCCTTCTTTCCCTCTCTCTCCTTCCCGCCTTCTCCTTCTTTCCCTCTCTCTCCTCCCACCTCTCCTTCTCTCCCTCTCTCTCCTTCCCCTCCTTCTCTCCCTCTCTCTTCTTTCCCTTCTCTCTCCTCTCTCTCCCTCCCGCCTTCTCCAGTTCACAGGAGACTGCCTGGTCTAGAAGAACAGACCTTCACCACGTCGCAGGTATATTCCATACTGTATATAGCTTGTGCTGTGGCAGTTTCTTTGCTGCAATGCAACGGCACCTCAAATACATGAGGACTTGTGTCCACATTGTGGCCAGCCATAACGCTGTCACGAAAATGCACAAAACATGCAAAGTGTATTGTCAAGACTATAATGTCCATACAATGCCCATTCTTCCCATGTACATACATATTGTCACATACACTGTGTGTGGTTATCCCGTAATGCTCCACAGACTTGTTTAATGTCACAGTTTCAAGGGCGGAAACTTTAGAGATTCAAAAATTCAGATTGTCATAATTCTTCATTAAGTCATTATATTTGAACAAGAACAAGTGCACAATGTACGCGTACGTAACCATGCAAGTTTCTTATGAATGCTGTTGAGCCCACGTCTGTGTGCTATATCTAATATTGCCAGGGAAACGTTATGCCTTCCATAACCCCTCTCCCCCACCAGTCACACCAGCCTTGGTGGCTACCATAATATTGTACATTGCTGCTCACATGTGTACATATATGGTGTCTATGGCCTGATTGGGTTTAAGGTTACTGGATTATATTACCACCTACTGGCTGGGCTTACTAGGCTGGCATATGCCGTGTTTCGTCTCCCACTAATTCCATTATCAGCCCGGCTTCCTCCACACTGCCCACAGACGGTCACTTACAGTGGTGAACACTGGTGCATATGGCGTTACTGCACAATCAAACAGTGGATAAAACACCAGTTTGGGCTAGTCTTGTGCCCAGACCCTCACATACTCACGCACGAAAGAGGCACGTGAGGGTCTGGGAACGAGACTAGACAGTTGGGCTTGAGAATTGTGCATCTAGCTGGTCTGAAATGAGTTATCATGTGTCATTTGTGCCGTAGCTGGGCTGAATTGTGCATCTAGCTGGTCTGAAATGAGTTCTCATGTGTCATTTGTGCCGTAGCTGGGCTGAATTGTGCATCTAGCTGGGCTGAAATGAGTTTTGTGCATCTAGCTGGGCTGAATTGTGCATCTAGCTGGTCTGAAATGAGTTCTCATGTGTCATTTGTGCCGTAGCTGGGCTGAATTGTGCATCTAGCTGGTCTGAAATGAGTTCTCATGTGTCATTTGTGCCTGGCTATCACAAGAACAGAAGTGAATGTACGTTTACCATACAGTGTATGGACTGTTTTGTACGTCGCCGAGAGAGTTCGTATTGTGAAAGTTTTCCTTTGTGCTGCCTTTAGTGCCTCGTTTCTTATCAACCTGTTGCTACAACGGCTACATACATAATGTACTACAATTATACAGACTGCAGTTACACATGCATCTGTATGTCAGTATATACAACAGTCCTACATACATGCTACGTACGTACATCAACAACGCCTACATGTACATCGCAGTGACAAGTACACGAATACGAGGAAAAAACAGTGACAAATTACATCAAAAACATTTACATCAGAATAAAAGAGCGACAGGTACATCGATAATACAATGGCTACATGTAGAACAGGAATACATGTCATTTCTTGTATACAATGTAGTACTACATATGTGCATACGTTTTCCCGTCAGTCTGTACTGTAGCACACTCAACTCCATATTTGGTGTGCAATAAACAGCACATACATACACGTGTTTGCTCCTTCATCATGATATAATATCGTCATGCACACTCTCCCCCATCAGACATCGTACTTTCAATTTCGCAATAGTCACACGGAATGTTATGTAAACGTCGTATTATAAAACCGTAGCATGTGTGTGTGGTATTTCCTGCACGGTGATGGATGCTGCGTGGATCAAAAGCTGGACTTCTTCACGTCGTTGTACGCATGTGGTAGTACTCACATGGCGGAACTATTTTGTGTAAAACAAAGGTCTCGTGCATGATGGCCGCCGTCCTGCTGTCTAGATCAACCAACACCTTTCCTGGGATCTGATGAGCATCGAATCGGACACCTTAAACCCGGCGTTCACCAGTTCTGCTTACCAATCTGTCTCCGTCCACCATTCCCACGCGCACTCGCGCTCTGCAACGATAGTTACTTCCCTTCCGCACATAACCCACCTAGTGGTCCATGAAACATGTTATGTACATTATAGGGCAGAAGCAAGTATCTTTTATAGAGAGGTGTCCTTTATCAAGAGTGCATGCATACTTTTCAGAGGATTTTCGCTATAGTAGAAAAAGGTATCTGGCGTTCTGCTTTATAGCTGTGTGCATCATTGAGGTGCCTTGGAAGTTGACATGAAGATAATAGTTAAAACTCTTTGGACGCCATGGGTATCTCCTTAAATAAGCAGAAATTGATGTGCCTAGAATTATAGCCGTATATAAATTCTTATGGACTTATGGAGGCTCTGGGCATATGTATATATATATGCCCGTGGCTTGCTAAGGGTTAATCATACGTACAGTTGTTGTGTGTTAGTTCACATTTTCTTATATATGCCCGTGGCTTGCTAAGGGTTAATCATACGTACAGTTGTTGTGTGTTAGTTCACATTTTCTTGTGACGTACTCACGTACCCAAGATTAGTCCAAGTACGTATATAGCAACGAGTGTGCAATCGATTACTGGGTGGCTTGTGGGCAGACAGACGAGAAATTAAGTTAGCGACAGACAATGCGTAGGAAGGTAGTGGGCGGGGGCATAGTCCAGGTAACCTGAATGTGGTATATAGTGGATGTTAGGAAGAGTAGGGGTGGGTGTGTGGTTGGAGGGCCTCTATTATAGCTGGTGGAAGAAGCCTGGGGACTTCATTCCACCGCCACCACACCATCCTGTGTCCATGTGTGTTTGTGAGTGTGTTGTGAGGTGAAGATCTCTCCAGTGGTGATCATGTCCATGTGTGTGTGTGTGTGTGTGTGTGTGTAGGAAACACCTTACAACAACGTTTCTTACTGTACTATTAAGGGGAAATTATTTGAACCATCCACAAAAGTGGTGGGGATGTCTATGGAATGACAGGCAATCAGCGAAGGTTCTCTCTTCGAGATTCTCATTTGCTCTCCTGTCCTATAGCGAACGTTCTCTCCCTCAAAAGTCACCCTAAAGCTAAAACATTGTTTACATACCCAACCTGATGATCGAACCAGTGGCTTAATACTATCCTACTATCTCCTTACTCCACAAGTACTCTACCCACTAATCCTTAGGCATTTTTTTGACTCCTTCTCCTTGTGCTGAGGTTGCTATTTTGTGGTACTCTGTATGGAGTCATGTGACCAACAATAAAGAGTCATAATGACATCTATTGCAAGCTCAAAAACCAACCTACGTAGCTACTGTATATAATATAAGTGCTAACTCCCAGGGTTTTACCATTTCTGTGCCAGTCTAGTGCTATATATAAATTATCATTACTTTTCCTTTCCTCCAGGACATGATATGCAGCCACTGAACTTCATGCTGCAGCAGCTACAGAATTATTCACAGTCTTTATGATGGGACTGCTCCAGTCATTATTATATGTGTTTATTTGGCCGGTCAATTAACATCGCACGCGCGGCCGCGCTAATTATATTCATTGGGAAAATAGGATTTCCGCACAAGCAGAGACCGGTCGGTCGGAGCTAATATCTTGACTGTTCAGGCTTTTTGCTGCTGCGAAGAAGACGTGGATCTCTGCACCAGTAGCGATTAGTTCGAGCCGGCAATTCGTGCTGGCTTACCCGTCGTCTTCCTACGAGAGATAGAGACGATATTCGGCAAGACGGACAGAGAGTGAAAGATATCAGGTGAGTGTGTAGTGCATGGGTGTGCCTGCTATCGGGCGGCGCAGGGAGCGAGGGAGGGTGTATGTAGTGTAGCTACTCCCTCGCGTGGGCCTTCACCAGCCTTTCCACAGCGCTGTCTAGCTTACTGCAGCTGAGTATATATGGAGTTCGATGGGGGGCCCACTAACCGGGCTTTGTTTTGTTGCCTCCAATGGCCGGTTTTTGCATGTCATTATTCACAGCTAAAACGTTACCGCTCCGGCCCTAAAGTTAGCTGTAAATAGTCAGCGGGAGATTATCTTTTGTTCGTACTGGCGGTCTCGTTTGAAAGAGGCAGTTTGACTGTAAAAGGCACGGCCATTTGTCTGAAAAGTGCCCCTAATGAAATTAGTCTGCAGCTGACATTGTGCAGTCCGCTCTAACACAATACGTGGGTCACAGGGGAGCCCACAGGAATGAAACGGAGAGAGAAAAGAGGGTGGGGAGGGGGAGTAATGAACTGGAGCACAGCTGATAGCTAGCTTTGCCTGGTTTTGGCCATCTTTTGCCAGATTTTGGCTTGCGGTGTATGGCTGCACAGCTGCCGTATCCGCACACTACCCATTGTAACTCTCTGGTATGTTTGTCCACATGGACCGGGGTTTGCCTAGTCGTTTGTATTGGAGGACGTGGCATAATATGATCACACTGTTACGATGGCTACGTCCAATGCAGCGTGATAGGTCTAAATGGTTTTGTAGCTCTCCTTTGATGTTGCAAGAGAGAAATGGGATGCCTCTTTGTATTGTACATGCAGAGAGGGAGGGAGGATGGGAGGAATAGGTGTGTTGTGGATGGTTGGAGATGTATTGTGATAGCCAGTGGCCTGATGAGTGCTTTGATATTCTATAATTAGTGTCTCCACTTCTGCACTCACGCGCGTCGCACTCGCTGCGCTACGCGTCGAGAGACGACTCTCCTCCCTCTCTCCCTCTCCTCTCCCTCTCTCTTATCTATCCCTCTTCCTCCCTCTCTCCTCTCTCATCTCTCTCTCCTCTCCTCTCTTTTTCTCTTTGCCTTCTCTCTCCCTCTCCTCTTCATCTTTCTCATCCTTCGCTTCATGTGATATGTTCAGCGTCTTTGTCAACTAGACATTGGGTATATATGCTCTCTCTCTCTCTCTCTACAGCCTGTGTTAGAACAAAATTTGCCTACATCTTGTCCTCACACACTGCGCATTACCTCATGTGTAGCACCTGGTCGCTGTGCAGATGGTTAAACTAAAATTAATCTCGACTCTTGATTTGTCTGTGATGACAACCATTATGAGCAATGTCTAAAGTTAAATCATATTGCTCTTTCCTGGTTGTCCTGAAGTGTGGATACTTGTTTCCTTGCCATTCAGAGGTGATAGTGTTGGGCCTGCATACCACTGCTGGTTACATTGCATGCCACGCTAGTCCGCACACTTTAGGCCAAAGTTTGCAGTCTGACCTCCTAATTAAACCCCATTCCAATTTAATGACTAAATGCAGCGAATTATTGCCGCTGAATGAGTTATTGTGTGTGAACTGAAGCATGGGAACTATATTAAGCTTCACTTTGCTCTACAATAGGAATCTCATTTGTAGTAGCGATTAGCTCACTCTCACCAATGCTTATTGAACCAACACAACAATCAGTGTATTGTGGTGTATTTCTCTTGACGTTAAGTGTGTTCCAATATTCGTATATACCTAGAGTAGTTTGCCATTGGTCGTGAAATTTTGTGGGAGGAAAATTTTGTGTCAACTCTGTTTTTTGTCGGATATGAAAAAATTAGACATCCACGAAACATTTTATCCCCTGCCCGCAATAATTTACGACCCTTCCCCTTTTAAATCGCTCATGAAATCCTACCTACCTACGCACACGAACCTTTGACGGGACGAAATGCACATTATAATATGGACACTGTACGCTGCATGCAGTAGCTATATAGTATAGAGTATAATATTATATGTAGCAGTGAAGTGCAGTACTTGTGTATTAGTGGCGGATTTCCTGCCAGTAGGATGCAATGTTGAAATCAGCTTCCTCTGGAGCCCAGGAAATTGCAATTTCCACCAATACACTGATTAGGTCAGCACACATGGACAGTTCAGATCAGGCCCCGGCTGATAAAGATCACAGCACAGTATGCCTCGAGCCATTTATACTAGTCTTGTGCTGAGACCACGCCCCCAGAGACTGGTGACTTTATGAGCGATTGCTTGGTTGAGCTGTACCGTTGACATTAAATACTTTACTTGATAACTGACTTGGGAAGTGAGCTTGCCAAAAATGCCATAAATAAGAGAATTACAGCGATTTGTTGGTTGAGATGTATCAGTATAGATATTGTCGCGTGTAAATTTGACAACTTTACTCCATAACAAGACTCACCCAATAATGCCACGATAGTCCTAAACAGATGGTTGTGTATATAGTCACAGAGTCCTTTGGACATAAAGTGTGCTATATACTTGTATTGAAAACTTGCTGTTTCTGAGTAGTTGATAGCGAACTTGAGAAGTGAGGTCCGTACTCTGTGGTTGTTTGTTGTTGTGTGTGTGTGTGTGCGTGTGCGTGTGTGTGTGTGTGTGTGTGTGTGTGTGTGTGTGTAAGTCCAGCTCTTCTCAAATACCTTGACCTAAACGGGAATTAATGCATGCCAGCCTTCTGGGGGGTCCAGATGTGTGGTATATTGCAGTGCAGCCCACTGTATTTCATATCCTTACATAATATAGCTCCGTCGTGTGTCGATGTGCGAGGCTCTCCAGGTTTTATATTAACTCCAGATGTGTGGTATATTGCAGTGCTGCCCACTATATTTTGCAGTGTATGTATGTACCCACCACACAAGGCTCTCCAGTTGATATTAACTCCAGACTCTTTCATAGTAGTCACAAATATTGTGTGCTAGCATTGATGAGAGAGAGAGAGATGGAGAGAGGGAGGAGAGAGAGAGAGGAGAGAGAGGAGAGAGAGTGGGGGGTGTGCCTTTGTGTGTCTGCAACCGTCATACCATATATGTACACAACTCTCTCGCCTCTTCTGTCGTAAGGTAAGTACCCATCAACATACTGTCTCATACATTATTGGCATACACCGTCTTACATCATAGGCCTTACATCACGTATTGCCTTACTGTCACCTGTCAAAGGAAATGATTGCGTTTTGCTAACGCTTTGACGTGGGATTAGTAATCGACTTTGCCTCCTTACGACCACTTTGCCTTCCTTTTAGTAGCGTAATCACTCAGTACACTAGTACTAGCGTTATGGCGAAGGGCATTGTACACATACTGTATACTACTGGTCATAATACCAGAGGGCCCGTGCTGTATTTTGAAAAGTGAAAATGAGCCTGCCTAGTCGTCTGAATTGTGTAGGAACTCTCTCATCATTATACTAACGTCGTATCTAAAAATACTCGTAAAACCGACATTTTACACATGTTCGACTGCATGCGTTCGCTCGCCGTGTATAAATATTCCTACACTGAATGTGTTTTGGGGTTTTTTCCACCAGCAGGCACCGTTGTATAAGTGGATATAACGTGTAGTTATTTGAGGAAACATGCCATTCACATGAACGCATTGCTCACACTGTTTCTACTTCAATATTCCGTTAGTGTGTGTGTGTGTGTGTCTGCGCTGTTTGTTGGATCGAGGCATAGTTATGTGAGGAAACATAGTTTCTGGCATTTTCCTCAAAATCACAATTCTATTTTCCTGGAAGGTCTGCAATATATTGTTTGTACGTACGTACGTATGTCTGTCACACTACCTTAATTTGGGTTTGCGAGCCCAAGTACACCATAATTAAGGTAAGGTGATCCCCTTTCATCATTGGCCTATTATGATAACCCATGCACAGTGGAACCCATTGGCCTATTAACCCCTCTAATCCGGGCACAATTAGGACAGAAGAAATGGTCCGTATTAGCGAGGTATATAACTGTTCTCGGGGAAAGAAAAGGTGTCCTTATTAGAGCAGTGTCCTCATTTCAATGAGGCCTATTAACCCCTCTAATCCGGACACAATTAGGACAGAAGAAAGTTTACGTATTAGCGAGGTATATAACTGTTCTCGGGGAAAGAAAAGGTGTCCTTATTAGAGCAGTGTCCTCATTTCAGTGAACTCTTAGGTATATACCATATATATAGTGTGCTTGATGTGCAGCTAATGCAAGTGGCTTGAAGGTGTACTGTGTGGTCTGTAGTGGCATATGGCTCCAATCATGTGGTGTACCATCCATTTGGCCTTGGTCATGCCACACAACTATTATACAATCATCTACCGCATGCCATGGTTGTCAATAATGAGTCTTTAGTAATTCCCAAAACCAGATAAGATATTCTTGCAAGACAGAGTTTGTCCATGAAGAAAGCTGTGCATATATGTAAGGCTTTGGTAGACATCATATTGCCAGCATAGTAGCTAGAGCATTATGCCTGCATGTGTTAAGTATACGACCCAAGAGAGACTAATAGCGTCAGTCCTGGCTGTATATAGCCAATAGCTATAGTGATAGACAAAAGTCTGAAATGCCTATAGTCGTTAACCCTTTTCTCCCCACGAGGGACAACCGAGCGTGAATTTCCACGTCGCCAGCAATGCATACGGTTGTGAGAGCGTTAATGGGTCTTTATTGGCGTGGGAGCAGGCGATGCAGAACTGCAAAGTCTTCTGTAAACACGGGCTCCTTGGGGGGGGCAGTGATTTTCGTTTGTGATAATCACGAACATTAGAACGTATGTATGTCGGCTTGTTAATTTTGTTGGTTTTGTACATCAGAACATGGCGTTTACATTTACCTGGCTGAAGTTGTATTTTCGCTTGTAACTTGAAATTTTTGAAATTTAAAAACGCATCTACTGTTTTGTACTAGTAGTAAGTTGTGTAAAGAGATACATGGGCCTCCTCCATAACAAACTGGGCATACTGTACAGTTGCCGTGCGTAACTGTGTTTGAGTATACTGGATTCTACGCATGAGAAAAGATAACTAATTATACCCATTTGCCACGCCAGCTCAGTTTCTTGAGCCCATTATAATGTATACACCACTGCATTACGTGTGTGTAAATATCGTTGTGCTGTGAGATGTGAGTGTATTTATGAGTCGAGTGTGCGAAACAGGCAGTAGTTTATGGGTATATTCATAGCTGGCGGCGTTTCCAAAACCATAGTTATATGTATGTATATAATTACGTGGGTATTGCAGTTGATGTTGGGATAGAGTTGTTTGGGACTTGTGTACGATGGTGGCTGATGTACTCTGAAAGTTGTTTCTGTGCTTATCCAGGGTTTCCCTATCCTGCGTTGAGTTTGTTATATCGAGTCATGTGCCTACATGGAACACCACAGCTACAGTTGCCTGGCTATAGGTGTTTATTATATAGGATATGGGCCTTTTGGAGCGACGGTTAAACTTTGTTTATATCGCAGAGTTACCAAATTACATTATACTACAAGACGAGTTGTTTGTTACATTATGCTACAATTATGTTTACAAGCATGTTATTATGAGCACACCTTATAGCACAGAAATGAGCAAATTATGCACAGCGCATATACAGCTTGTTTGCATATCAAATTACGTGTGGATTTGTGTTTGCATCACACAAATCAATGTGTCCAATGGACGTTGATTGACTTCTGGTGTGTGTCTGCTGATCAGTGGGACTTGTCTGCATGTCGTACGCTGGTACACCGCTAGAGATCAAAGCATTCCATACATTTGAGCAGTGTTACTGGTCACCGATAGTGCCATAAACAGCCCACGTATCATATCGTTAGCTACGTTATGTATATTATGTAATTATGATTTGTACGTGTGTGTAGTGTATAAGATTAATGTGTAGGCATTTAATCAACTTATTGCGCTTGATTTTCCTGCTTGTTTCATAATTAGATGCTCGGTGGTTGTGAGATTGCCTTATTTTAGTTTGTGCTTTGTACACATAATCCTATTTTCTCTTAATTGAGGGGGAGTAATAATAGTATTGACATTCTTTAATCTCATCAACTTGTTGTTGAAGATTCCTGGAAAAGATTACTATACTAAGGCAGTTGATGCAGGGGTTACTAATAGTGTTGGTATGGAACAATACCGTTGAGCTCCTCTAATGCAGACTCCAATGGGAGACTAGAAGAAAGTGTCCAAATTAGTGAGGTGTCCTTTTTTCAGGGGTTAAATTTTAATACTGTTTTTGGGAAAGAAAAGGTGTCCTCATTTCAGGGGTTAAATTTTAATACTGTTTTTGGGAAAGAAAAGGTGTCCTCATTTCAGGGGTTAAATTTTAATACTGTTTTTGGGAAAGAAAAGGTGTCCTCATTTCAGGGGTTAAATTTTAATACTGAAAGAAAAAGTGTCCTCATTTCAGGGGTTAAATTTTAATACTGTTGTTGGGAAAGAAAAGGTGTCCTCATTTCAGGGGTTAAATTTTAATACTGTTGTTGGGAAAGAAAAGGTGTCCTGATATCAGAGGGGTGTTCTTAGAGAAAAGTTTAACTACCTTCCACGCGTCATTGAGATCGAATTTGCCCTTGTATACGTAGGAATAGTAGTAGTGACTCAACTGTATCGTCTCTTGTTTCTCTTGCATATACTCCTTTGACATTGCTACCGCGCCAGAGTTGTGTAGTGTCAGAATTGTACTGTTTTTGCCCCCTTTGGTGTTACAGCTGTGCTAGTACGTTAATTGTGTCATCCAACTCCCTTTTTCGTAACTAAATAGCTGTAATTACGTTCTTTTTGTCTCTTTTTGTCTCTTTTCGTCCTGGTCTCTCCCTGAGATTGTGCCAGCGCCAATTTATGACATCACGTCCAACACAGCTATTCAAGCGCATGTGTCTTAGACGAATATGTAGCAGGCCATATGTCGCCTGAATTACTCGGGCATATCTCTAACCGAGCTACTATTGAAGTGCATTCCAGTAGCACTATTGCTACACTTCCTCCCATGCTATAGACAGCATGCTTACTCTCAAAACTACTCCTGTAGAAAGTTATTCATGGAATTTTCATTTTTCCTCTGAAAACCAAAAGCAAATTTTCGAGAGTTCGCTCTAATATTTCGTTTTTTATACGAAGGATTTGTATGTATAGCTGTATATGTATGTAGGAATTAAAGGGCTTTATTAAAGGAAACTGAGAGGTCAAGGGTTAACTGAAACCAGCGGGAGAAGGGTTAAATTGTTGGTCTCTCTCACCTTTGAACATTGTAAGGGATTAGGTTACTGCAAGCCGTGCAGTCTAATTTCCTTGGGAGTATAATTGTCTGGTATTCTGGATATGAATAGAGGCCGAAATAGTATCGTTGTGAATATTCATACGATATGCTCCAGGGATATCGTTGATATAGACGAAAGCTGCGATACATATATACATGTTCATCTGTTAGGAGCACCAGTACTACAAGGCATTCTGGTATGGAGGAAAGCAATTAACACGATTATTACGACGCCTTGGCCTAGGGGCAGAACGCAGTGTGAGCTACTGTGAGTAACTCCCTTTTGCAGTGTGAGCTACTAGCTCTGTGTGTTGTCATAAGTCAAAGGCAACAGAAAACTGTATTACCTAGGGCATAATGTAATGTCTTTTTCAACATTGCTGCCCTTGGTGAATGTAACTGGTCGTGTACATTCAGATGTAAACATCAACGATGCCGCAGAGTAACGGCAAAGTTCTTATAGCACCCATGACAAATGTGAAAGAAATGCTCTGGGTGATGTTCAAACCCACGACACTCTGCAGTCTATAGGCCGAGTGCCCTAGACTGGCAGAGTGCTCTAGACTGGCAGAGTGCTCTAGACAGGCGGAGTTATGACTGTAGCTGTTGGACGACTGTGGCACACAACGAGTGGTTGTTGACGTTGGTTCTTGCCAGTCGTGTCTGCAAGTGTTTTTAGTTGCCTGGCAGATGAGGGCAGGGATAGTCTTATTGTCATTCCTGTGGCACCGTCTGTTTGTCTAGTGTTCCATCCTGTCAGTAGTCCGTTGGTGGGTGGCCGATTCTTGTGGCATTCTGTTTGTCTAGCGTTCCTGTTATGTTCGTATGTGCATGTGCTGCATTATGTGGTAGAGCTTTGTTTTTCTCATGTAACTTGCAATTCAAATGTGTGACATGTCCACAAGACATGTTTCTTGAACCCATTATGTTCATACATGAGACTTTTGTGTCTCCTTTATCCGATTGTATTTCAACTCACACTCTCTTTTTGCAGGGACCTCATCAGAGTTATAGTGTGGCAAACAGACAATGCCTCCCCCACCCCCTCCCCCTCCTCCGCCTCCTCCCCTTCCTACCTCAGCTGGGGGGCCCCCAGCTAAGAAACAGCTCCCACCTCCCCCCATCACAAACGGCAGGGGCCCTCCCGTCAGAAATTCAGTACCCCCGGCCCCCGCTCCCAAACGAGTGTCGAGAAACGTACAATCGAAAGTTCCCCTCATGCCCTCTTTCGCATTGCCAGGCCTAGCTGGAGCCAGAAATTCATCAGTTGGGGGTCCACACTCCCCTAAGAACTCTTCGCCAGGGGGACCGCCAAACCCCCCTCCTCGTCTGCCCCCCGGTGGAGCTCCCCCAGTAACGAAAGGGGGCCCCCCACCGCCGCCACCACCAACTAGAATTTCTTCAGCGGTTCCTCCACCGCCCCCACCCCCACCAATTGGGGGTCCAGTATTGCCAGCTGGGGGGCCACCGCCTCCCCCTCCTCCAATCGCGGACGGCGGACCCCCTCCTCCTCCTACCCCTCCCCCTGTATTGACATGGGGTCCTCCAGAATTCCCCACAGGGGTTCCACCGCCCCCTATAGTACCGAGTGGTGGCCCCCCTCCCCCTCCACCCCCTCCACCAGTTTCAGTTCCGAACCCCCCACCCCCTCCGCCCGTACAACCCCCCACTAATATCTCCTCATCAAATAATCCCCCTCAGAGGAAATCTCATCCCATCGCCCCCCTACCTGCTGTCCCGCCTGCCGCACCTCTTCCTCCACCCCCTACCTTCTCCCCTCCCCCTCCCACTCGCTCTCCACCCTTCACAGTTCCCACTCCCCGATCTCCCTCCGGAATTCCCCCGCCCCCACAAATTCACTCCTCCCCCATTGTCCCCACGGAAACAGAGGACACGCCCCCAGCTCCACCCGTACGGAAACAGTCAATCAAAAAACAGACCCACCCTCCCCTCCCTCCTCTCCCTCCTCCTAGGGGGTCGTCAAATAGTAGTTCCCCACAACACACGGGGTCCAACAATGGTTCCCCCAGATCCCCTCCCCCACATTACTCCTCGCCCCCGCGCCGCTACTCCCCCGGCCACCATCCCAGGTCTCCACCGGGGAACGCGACCCCCTCACAAATTTCCTGCCCCCCGGGGGCCGAGCAGTACCCTGTCATCCCCCCGCCCCCAATTGTACAGAACACTCGGAGACTCTCGGAATCCTCCCGCAACGGAATCTCGATTACACCGTCACCGACCAATCAGAACGGGGTTGCCAGTGGCAACGAAGTCGGCTCGGGTATGTCGGACTACGACTACCCTAAATCGGTTCGAGCAAGCCACGCGATGGAGTGCTACGACGTCCCACGGAACGGGAAACGTGCCTCTCCCCCCCAACCTCCCAGCGCACGTTCCCTCCCGCCCATCCCCTCTCAATTCAAGAGAACATCCGACTCGTCTTCCGGCGAGAGTCGTCCGATCTCGCTCAGCTCGGGGAGCCTCGTCTCCTCCTCCGCTGCAGATACCAGTTCAGGGTCGCTAGATTCGAGTTTGTCCGGTCGCGAGTTGCCCGGATACGACGTACCGCGACGCATAGTTCACCAGACGACAGTACCGCCCCCCATTCGCCAATCAGAGCTCAACCTAGACGCAGAGTTGGCAAAGATCGACGGACTGATGGAAGAAGTTAATCAACAGCAGCAGAGAATCAGGGGTACACCCTCAGTCTCGTCGGCCGCTAATCGCGTTACCCTTGACGGGTACGAGTTGAGTGAGTTGGGCAAGCCACTCCTGGGCGGGGCGGAGGCCGAGAGCAAGCGGTCGAGCTCCAGCATGCAGGAGAGCCTGTCGTCGCGGAGTGGCAGCAACGACACGCTGGGGATCTGGGACGACGTGTCGTACCCCGAGGAAGAGTATAGTGGGGACAGCGAGGAAATGGAGGGAGTTACGGGTGGGGAGGGAGGGGAGGGGGTAATGCTGGACTCCTGGATCAAGGAGCTGGAGTCAGGGATAAAGGGAATGTCTGGTGTGGCTGGAGGAACTACTGAGGTAAATCAACAATGAGCTCACTAATGTACATAGGACATGAGCAAATATATATTTTTGGTCTTCCGAAGTCTTGTTTGTGGGATTACGTGATTTCAGAATTAGCGAGCGAGCTCCCATATCGTGTCGTGTCGTGTTGTGATGAAAGGTGATGAAACATACATGCATTAGAAGCCCGAGGCCCCCTGCATTGTTGCATTCCAAGCTCAACAAAGATGCTTAGTAAAGTGCCTGAGGGTTTCTATACGATTTGACAAAACGTTGAGTCTGGGAGATGAAAGACGCGAAACGTTCATTCTACGAGATAAAACACACGATATGCGGCTTGAGCGAGCTTTAAATCCGAGAGCTTACACACAATTAGACTGTCAAGAGTAAAAGGCCGGCAGTTACGAAGGAAGAGGGAAGGGGAGATGTAGTGTTCTGTAGTGCCAACATGCCACGCAGTGCAGAGGGTCAGAGGATATGCTTGTCATCATCCTATACATTATTGGGATGAAAGGTTTTTGATGAAATTCCGATGGACGTCCTGTTTTCTCTACATATCTGTAGTTAGGAAGCCTTGCGGTGCAGTTGGAGTGTGTATATACCATCATGTGTATAGTGCTCAGTATGCATACATGTACATACGTGCCCCACTCATTCTCTTTCCATAAATCAAAATTAAATTTTTATTGCGTATAGCGTGTAATAGTCTGACTTGTATGTACACATAGCTTAATTTGAATCACATTTCCACACCAGTTTACAGCTTTCTCTCTCTCCTCCTGCTTCCACTTGCTCTCCTGCGTCACGCCATCCATCTGTTTCTCGTTGCTCCATTAAGCCGACTGACGTCCCCGGACGCTACGGGGGAAATACAGATTCCACACGAAGAACAAGCCACTCCCCCCTCCGCCCGTGCCCCCCGTTGTTGCCACGCCCCCTTCCCCCAGCGTGACGTTCTCTGGTCAAACGAGTTCTGGAAAACCGGTCAGGGGAGTGATGTCACCAAGAGAAGGAAGAGTGACAGACTCACAGTTGGTGAGAAGGTAATAGAATCAGGATCAGTGTTCACACTCAAATTGATTGGCAAGTGAAGCGAGCCCAACTAGTCGTCTGAACGTGGAATATTTGTATACGTATGCCCGGGCACTGCCATGTACCGTAATGTTGTACGTGATTCTAAATACGCGTGAAACGTGTAAAAACGAACTATGCAGTAAGCTTGTGTCTTTGTCCCGGGGCCATCGTCAAGTGCTACATGACACACATTTACTTTACATAGTCCATTACAAACATTGGAATTATTATGTACAGTGCTTGCTTAGAAAACAGAGTGCCCAGAGCAGCTCTTCTTTTTTCCTTGGGTTGTCTTGGGTGCAGTTGACTAAAGCTACAGTTGTTCCTATGACAGAGGCTCAATGTAGAAAGATCGTGGATGGAAAAAGGGTTGTCTTGGGTGCAGTTGACTAAAGCTTCAGTTGTTCCTAGGCTCAAAGAACGTTGATGAAATGAGATAGAGTGATCAACTTACACAGTCCAAAGTGAGACTGATAGGAACTAATAGAAGGGAGTGAGGAACGCAAACAAGGAGGAGGAGAAGGAGAAATGGGATTAAAGGGAGAAGGAAGAGGATAATGGACAGTGTGAAATGGAAGGAGGGAGGGAGAGGGGGGAGGGGAGGGAGGGTAACTGAATAAGCAGACGCTTGCCTCTAGGGAAAACCTTCATTATTCATGTAGAATTTCCAATGGATGAGCTAGTGAAATCCAAAACGTCTACATATCCCACTTACCCTCCCCTCCTCTCTCTCTCTCTCTGTCTCTCCTACAGCAGCGGGCAAGTATCAGGTTATCAAGACAATTCTTAGAAGGTGAGCGGTAACTATGACACACGCTTGTTTTTTTATGCGTGCACGGGTTGCACGGGGAAACGGTGGTGCTGCTGGCACTTACTCAACTCGTTGCAGTTACTATGAGATTTAGTCAACACACGAGTGCGTACTAAGCGCAGTTACATTGCAGGGATAAAAATCCCATATGCGATTTGATCATTCATTTGGGGCGCCCTCACACGATTTAGCACAATTACCAGCTCACATGAATTGCATGGCTCTGTATTGAGTAATTTAGTACCTTATGTGTGTGTACTATGCCATATGTACAGTGTGGGCACGTATGTACTATGCCATATGTACAGTGTGCGCACGTATGTACTATGCCATATGTACAGTGTGCGCACGTATGTACTATGCCATATGTACAGTGTGCGCACGTATGTACTATGCCATATGTACAGTGTGCGCACGTATGTACTATGCCATATGTACAGTGTGCGCACGTATGTACTATGCCATATGTACAGTGTGGGCACGTATGTACTATGCCATATGTACAGTGTGGGCAACGTGTATGTACTATGCAGTGTAGCAGTGCCGTGCGTTTGTGAAACACAAACTTTCATACGATGGGGACGAGTACGGTGTCTTCTGCTCTTGAACGCTGTTTAAACTCACAATTGACGAAATTTGTTTCCAAACTCACCCCTACACACGCTTCAATACACTCCCTCTTCCCCCCTCCCTCTCTCCCCCCTCTCTCTCCTTTCTCTCTTTTCTGTGTGTCGTGTCACTCTTTTGTGTCGGTCCTTCAAGTCTTTCTCGTGCGTACTGCCGTAGTAACGCATGTCTCCTGCTCCTAACACAAACACTTTCCATTCTTTACTCATTGTTCAAAGCAACCCACCGTCCCTTATCTATGGATGTATATACTAGTACTGTATGGCTGTACTTCTGTATGTAGTGTATATACCTTCTTATGTAAGTGTGTACGTAGCATACAATATAGTACAAGGCTGCTTTTAGTGATGTACATATCGCCTATGTATGTACATGTGTACACTACAAAGTGGCTCTAAAAGGAAAGAAAGGGTTACAGCAAGACCTCGTGTGTTAGTGTTAGTCTGTCCATCTGAAGTCGTTTGAAACGTGGGTTGAAGCTTTGTCGAGTTGCTAATAGTGACAGCTGGGGTCCTTTTGTACTTGTGGAGTTCTAACAAACATCGGATCGTGGTCCGTTTTGTCAGTGTTTTGAAGAGGTGTTACATAACTGCGTTTGTACGGGCTGGAAAAACCCGTTTCTTTCTGCCCAGACTCGTTCAACCCGCTCAATACTTGTTCTCCCTTCTTGCCACTACGACGCGACAACCACACACAAACATAAAGCAAAGGTGGTGGAAGTGTGCATTATTTGGAGATATTCACGAGGAGTGGCTCCGGAGGTCTGAGACAAGGGTGTGACTTCCTGAGCCCAGCCTAGACACCGCGTCTGCTCCCACGTCTAGACACCTGATCTGAGAGATACTGTATAGCCACCACTTGAGAAACTATTATGAACCATCAAATTTCTTAGTTTTGGGATACTTTGCTACAAGATTAGAGATTACAACTTCTGAGGGGGGGCTAAAAATCTCTGACTGAGGGGGGCTAAAAAAATCTCCAACTAGGGGGGCTAAAAATCACCCTAATCTCAAGAAAAGGCTTAAGACTTCGACTGGATCTTGCTTGGGGGTCCTTAAACAACACAACCTCTTGATTTTGGGCCCCCTTCACCGAATTTACGACCCCTCACCCCCCCAGCAGCTACGTACTAGTGTCTATTTCGAAACACTAGTGTTTTTCAAGTAATTGCTTCGTTTGGTCTCTTCAACTTTTAGCACGTGTTTGCCTATTGGGTGTCAACATACACTTATAGAGGCCACGACATCATCAATATTGCTGCTGTGTTCTGCCAATAGATCAGTGGCTGCAGTTGATCCACTGTTGGCTGGCAGGCTCCAGGTATCTGGCCCAGCAACTAATACCTCTCTTTGTTGTGGTCTTGATGAGACAGAGGAAGTGACATCGTTGCTAATTTGCCAACAGGAAGTCAAGGGAGTGTATAAATAGGCCTAGCTGACTCATTTGCTCATTTAGCCAGCCTACAACTTCTGCAGTACAGTGTATAGTATTAGCCTTAGGTTTAGTTGTTCATAGTAGGCCAGTTAGGGTTCATGGTGCTGTAGCAACCGAGTGTAAGGAACAGAGAAAGAGAGAGGCTGAGGTTTTCAAGCTACAACTGTCAGAGTTAGAGGTATTGTTGGAGATATACTAACAGCCAGCTAGCTACTGAGGTCAACAAGTCAGTGAAACTCAAGAGCAGCGAAAGAAACTCGAGCCCCGACAGATTAGTTACAGTTTTGTCCCAAATTCGGAAGCTATTATTCGTATTACACTCTGCTATAAACAGTTGGGACTATAATATTGCGGTAACGGGATCAATTGACGGAGGGAGTCTGTCGTTTCAAGGCCCCACTGGTGACAGTAATAGTCACCGGTTCAGAGAGCAGCAAAACTTGTACTGAGACAGCAACTGCACTGCTGGAGCAAAAGTCAGCGTAAAGAGATATAGCTAGTTACATTGTGTACCCGGAGCAAACAGTATTCTTATAGACCTAGTAGCTGATCGATGCTTGAGCAAGCTGTATACTTCCAGTGACAACTATCGCTGAAGTAGAGATACTAACATCGACTTTAACCAGTCTACAGAGAAGTAAAAGAGTTAGGACCACAGCCCAGAGAGACTATACTGAATCAGTTCACTTCAAAGTCTTTCCAGCACCTGCTTTCTCTCCCTCTCTCTATGTCTGTTGCGATGGAGGGAGACTATGATAGTGGTGTGGGGTCCATAGACTCACCTGGAGAACCAGCCAGTCCCACTGACAGTCTCCGAGACTTGCTGGGCGGCAAATCTAACGGAGGACTTCCTCCTCCTCCTCCTCCTCTGCCGCGCAAGTCTTCTCTCCCCTCTGTGGTGAGGTACGCAAACATCGAAGTCGGGGGAAGAAGAGAGGGAGGAGGAGGAGGGAGAGCGGGGAGCGAGTGGAACGATAACGATCCCTATGCTTCGTACAGTCACCTCCCACTGCCGTCTCGGTGGGTTAACGGAGAGTCAAGTGTGTCAAGCTGTGTCAGTGGGACGTCAACTGGATCAAGCTGCGTCAACAGATCCCGCAGTGGGACCTCAACCTCATCAAGCTGCATCAACCGATCACTCTGGGGGACATCAACTGCATCAAACTGCGTCAACAGATCGCTTGGCAGTATATCCGAAACATCAAGTGTGTCAAGCTACATGAACAAATCACCTGGTCATGTAAATAGAGCGTCAGATGCGTCAACCTATCTCAACACAAGACCCACTCATGCTACTGCATCAAGCTGTTTCACGCCATCACGGCACAATACACCTGGTGTATCAGTCCGTATCAGTGATTACCCCGGTCACACTTCTACAGCATCAAACCGTGTCTACAGATCACACAGTGTTACGTCATATGCATCAAGTGGTGTCACCAGATCACCTGGACGTGTACCAGCATCAAGCGGTTTCTCTGGATCACCAAATCATGTATCTAGAGCGTCAACTGTGTCAGGAATTTCAAACCGTGTCAACGCTAGTCGCACCCCCAGAGGTTCAAATGCATCAAACTGCATCAATGAATCACTTGGTCATGTCCCAGGAGTGTTAAATGCGTCAAGCAGTGTCAGTGAATCACAAAATCAGGCCTACCACACAAATTCTCTTCTATGGAGCCTTCCCTCGTCAAGTCGTGCGTCAAGCCGTGTCTCGAGATCGTCTGGCCGCGTGTCTAGTCTCTCCAATCGTACCGGCAGTTTCTCAACATTCAGCAGTATTCCCGAAGAGTGCCACGCCCCTCTTTCTCGTCCAAGCCACACCTACTCACCTAGTAAACTACCTGTCACTGAAGGTTAGCTCATATGCATGGCATCTTAGTGGAAGAGTTTCAAACTCTTCCCGTTTCAAGGCTCCTGCTTACTTTTTCTCTACAACACTAACAAATCAAAAGAGGGAGTGAAACAATGTTCTTCCCTCTCCCCTACGAAGGACCCCCTATACTTACCTCTTCACTCCCATTAAAGACTAGAACTGAGGGAGAGGTTGTGAAAAATGAAGCAATTTGCTGTCCCCTTTCTCCCCCATTCAAACCTCCCACACTTCCCTTGAAGCTACAACAAGAAATCGCTCCAAAAACTCATTTCTCCCCACTTCCTTTCTCCCCCATACACAAATTGTGTCGACAGACTGCTTGTGTGTGTGTGTGTGTGTAATCTATCTTTACCCATTCTACTAAAAGCTCCAATGCTCCTATACTCTTCCCTCTCTCTCTCTCACACTCCACACTAAAGGCAGACTCTGTGAAAGGTCTGCTGTGTAAATATGCACACCTCGAGGCTGTCAACAGACAGACCGGTGTGTGTGTCAACCATAAGGGACGATGGGTCTGAAATTTCAGAAATGAGGGGTTGTGTGCTGGGAAGACATTTGTTCCCATGTTACTGTGTTCTCTGGCAGTGGTTCTGGGGATATGTTGGCAGCTTGTACATGGGTGTGGCCAGGATGGGAGAGAGGGAGGGAAGAAGGTTTGGAGAGGGAAAATTGGACCCGGGGAAACGTCCCACATGCCTATCAGTATCACAATTGAACGTCTTTTGAAACTGTGTGTGTGTGTGTGTGTGTGTGTGTGTGTGTGTGTGTGTGTGTGTGTGTGTGTGTGCGTACTTCAACAGTAAGGGAAAGGTGAATAGTGGGATGTGGGTTCTCTTGCTGGTGACGAGAAGTTGCCATGGCGTTACCGAGGTGACATATCTAACAACATGCTTGGAATTGCCAGTTAGTTAGTGCAATAACTCAGTTGGCAGTTATCAAGTTGGTTAACGGCATGGCAACGAGGTTGGCATGGCTGGGGTTAAACAGACTTGTTGGTAACTGGGCACTGAACATACACAACAAGTCACTTAGCTGTTTTAGAGATAAACTTCCACTGTTTATTTTACAGTCCTTATTCCTGGTATATTGTGGTCATATACTGTATACTGCCCCTTAATTACTTTCAGGTTTATTACACCAGGGTCGCTAAGTACAGCTTGCCTCTTAATTCCTGGTATATACGTAGGGGGGCAACAAACATCCTCCCCCTTAATTCCTGGTATATACGTAGGGGGGCAATAAACATCCTCCCCCTTAATTCCTGGTATATACGTAGGGGGGCAATAAACATCCTCCCCCTTAATTCCTGGTATATACGTAGGGGGGCAATAAACATCCTCCCCCTTAATTCCTGGTATTTATTACACGTTGCGTATCAATATCTGGTGCACGTATTACACGTTGCGTATCAATATCTGATAATTACCTGATAGTGGGTACAATAAATTAAAAAAACCATCCTCCCGTCTCAATAGATAATTCCTGGTATTAAACCTTATAACGTATTCCATATTATGTATACCTCATATCTATGTTTATTGCTGGCATTACAAGCCATTTCAATATCTTTCCCAAACGAACTTCTGTAGATGCCCTTACACTCTGCCAAATAGTTGACACTGCCTTGACACTTAACCAGCCGCGGACACATAATTAATGTGTCCAGAGCATCCATAAGTCCATAAGAATTTATATGGGGGTTATAATACAGGGCGCTAATATGGGGGCTATAATTATTTAAGCAGATTCCCATGGCGTCCAAAAGGTTAACACTATAATGACTATACAATAGTTCCTCTGCCCTTTTGTTCTTATTGCCATTACTATACAAGTGTCATATGTTCGTTGGGTATATTCAGCGGGGAAATTTCGAGGAAAATAAACAGTTTGCGTTTTTCGTGTGGTTGCAACGTCTATTGTGACAGTCTTCTCTGTGAATCTGTTCATTGGCCACGCTTCATGTATCCCATCCCTAATTACAAAGAAATTTTTCCCCTCAGAATTTTCCCCTCAGAATTTTCACACTGTGTTACACAGCTTCGTGTAATGATAAGTACCAAATGATGTAATGGTGACCCGTTCAGAACTTTTGAAAGTGTACTAGTTTGAAATGAAACGTAGCTCTCTGCAATAATCGTCGGTTTCACCAACAATGTTTGGCAAAATGAACGGTTGCATCTGCTAGACTTCCCCTCCCGTTCCCCTTCTTTCTCAGAACTGGCGAAATTACAAACCGTCGCCTTGCGGAGTATCTTGGAAAGCATTCGAAAACAAAAACAACTTTCGAAAGAACCGAAAGTGTTCAGAATTTACTCACTCACTTTTATACGCTTTTAGCTACAGTTCCGTAATGCTCGTTAAGTGCCATATTTTTGTTCAGTCCAAGATACATGTAATGACATTTCCACATGTTTTCTATATACACTTACTAAGTGACTACGATGGTGTAGTAACAGTATAGCTACTTAGCTCAGTTGGCAGAACGCTCGCCTAGACTGCAGAGTGTCGTGGGTTCGAATCCCACCCAGGGCAGCTCTTCTTCTTCTTTTCTTTGAGCTGTCCTGGGTGTAGTTGACTTGTTTGCCTTGCCTTGCCTTTCTACCTCGCTACCAAGTTGTTGAGACGTGTATGTGCTTGTATTAAGTGGTAGAGTGGGTGTTTCATCTCTATCATCATTGTGTGACTCAACTTGGCATGTCGATGGATAAACCACCCCATGTGGCCAGCTATGAACACCATTCGTAGATACATACATACTCCCATGCTTTATGTGTAACAGATGGTTATAAACTGTCCGCTCCATGGGACACCTGGTCCTAATCTGAAATCATCTTTTGCTCCATCTTGCCCTAATTTCCTTCACTTGCCAAATTGTGAATAGTTCATTGATTGCTTGCTGACCACCAGCCATCTTATCATTGCTAGTAAGCTACCAGCCAGGTGGATAGTTCGAGGTAGATACCATAATTATAGCGGCAAGATTTCAAAAACTTGCAAATTAAGTATTATGGATGAATTTCGCAGAAAATGAGGAAAGTTGGCATTTACGCAGAAGGGAGGGATGTGTTTTTGGCGGCTCATATAAATCATAGACAATGGAACTGTGCCAGAGTTACCCTCAAAATGTTCAGTTTAGTTTCTTCTGTGTCATAAGTCATAATGGCCCAAAGCTCTGAGTTGATTCAGAGCGCTGCAGACCAGAACAAAGTGTCACTTCTGAAATGAGATAACGAGATATCGCTGTTGGCCGACAACATTCCTGTCTCTATAGCGACTCTGCAGGCTATTACGCAATTATCCAATTAACATTCCTCGGATTCCATTGCCTTGTGACATGTAATCAATCAACCTTGGATGTGCGTGTGTCGCTAATTACCCGAGTAATGTATATCAGGTATGGAGGAATAGATCACTGCACCATTTCATGCTCTAGTGGCCAAGGAAGATGGTCCAAACTTCCAGTTGCACTTCCTTTCAACAGAAGTTGTTAAAAACACATCAGTCAATGGTCGGTGTTAGCTTGTGCGCTTACAGCGTAAATAGCTGATGTCATGACATGTGTACAACAGCACCTAAGACAGGGTCTGTAAAAAACCCCGACTCTATAGTTAAAACTCTTTGGACGCCACGGGTTTCTCCTTAAATAAGCAGAAATTGATGTATAACATAGTATTATAGCCATATATAAATTCTTATGGACTTATGGAGGCTCTGGGCATATATACATATGCCCGTGGCTTGCTAAAGGTTTTAAAGAGCTTTACATGTGCTGCCTATATTTAATGCCCACTCTCCTCCCCACCACAGAGGCAGACGACCCAGACCTGGACGCTCTCCTCGCCGATCTCTGCCAGCTGGAGGAAGACACGAAGGCCCAGCTGCAATCCTATCAGTCCCATCTCGTCACCCCGGACACCGCCGAGGCCAACAGGATGCACACCCCCGACCTCCTTGAGGAGAGAGTGACTGAATCACAGCAACAGTCTCCGCCCACTCTTAACCCCCCTACTGCTGCCAGTGTCACTAGTACTAACAGGTGCGATGTGTACTGTAGAGGATGGGGAAGGGGAGAGAGAGGGTAGATAAATAGTAGAACCTTCTCTCTAAGGACACTGTTAACTAACCCCCTACTGCAATAGTACAACAGATGTACTGTAGAGGATGGGGAAGGGGAGAGAGAGGGTAGATAAATAGTAGAACCTTCTCTCTAAGGACACTGTTAACTAACCCCCTACTGCAATAGTACAACAGATGTACTGTAGAGGATGGGGAAGGGGAGAGAGAGGGTAGATAAATAGTAGAACCTTCTCTCTAAGGACACTGTTAACTAACCCCCTACTGCAATAGTACAACAGATGTACTGTAGAGGATGGGGAAGGGGAGAGAGAGGGTAGATAAATAGTAGAACCTTCTCTCTAAGGACACTGTTAACTAACCCCCTACTGCAATAGTACAACAGATGTACTGTAGAGGATGGGGAAGGGGAGAGAGAGGGTAGATAAATAGTAGAACCTTCTCTCTAAGGACACTGTTAACTAACCCCCTACTGCAATAGTACAACAGATGTACTGTAGAGGATGGGGAAGGGGAGAGAGAGGGTAGATAAATAGTAGAACCTTCTCTCTAAGGACACTGTTAACTAACCCCCTACTGCTGCCAGTGTCAATAGTACAACAGATGTACTGTAGAGGATGGGGAGGGGGAAGGTTAGATAAATTTACTAGGATACCACTGTATATTCCCCTTTTGCCGGTAACTAGTACTATAGAGGAGCAGAAATAGGACAAATTATTTATGGAGCAAGGTAGGGGCAAAAGATGAAAGCTTGGAGAGAATATATTTTGGGGGGGAGATCGCCAATGATAAGAGATAGGAAAAGAAGTGCATTACCATGCTAGCAATACGAGATCAAACTAAGAACTTTTTGATGTTCTTTGATCCTGCCATTCTTCAATTGTGTATGCACTCCATAGTACCATCTCCGCCTCCTCCCACACACAGTGGGTACTCCAACCTAATGATCAGGGACCCACCCACTGCGGCCGTCTCCTCCAAGGACTTTGCCGACATTATGGAGAATCTGCAGAATTCCCGCAACGTCATACAAGACCCTTCCCGGGCCCTGGCCTTCTCCATGTACCATTGTGAGTGTATCTGAGAATGCCGTACTTTTTAGCGGGTTGTACGAGCAAGCACGCTGGTATACTTCTTAAGTCGAGATTTAGTACGCAACTTTATGCCTGGCGCATTCATTTCTGCTGATGCAGGAACAATTAAACTGAGCAACAAATCTAGAAGCAGCATTAAAACTGTAGGTGCCACGGTAGTTTTAACCAGACCTCTCTCCCCTCCTCCTCTCTCTCTCTCCTCAGCCAATGAAACAGATGGCAAGGCTCCTCCCCCTCCCTCCACCTCCTCCTCCTCCTCCTCGGAGCACACCGACATATTCTCCGCCAGTCGCCGAGAGTCCCAGAGACCTGGAACCGGTAACGGGGGTATGGGAACCGGACCCAAGGGAACGCGCAAGTCTTCACTCAGAAGGGCTTCTAGTCGCGACGGAGAGTCATCACCGGCCCACAATGTGGTGCAGAAACAACTGGATGCCTTTGCCGACCAACTAACTGTCGACGAAGCTCTTACTGCAGTACGTTTATCTCTGATAATAGTTAGCCTAACTTATTTAGAGCGAATTCTAATTGATGCACACCCGATTTGCCGACCAACTAACTGTCGACGAAGCTCTTACTGCAGTACGTTTATCTCTGATAATAGTTAGCCTAGAGCGAATTCTAATTGATGTGCACCCGATTTGCTTAACTGTCAGATGAGCTTCTGTAGCTGCAGTATCGATCTAGCTGCTCTGTGTTCCTGCCGATTTAGTCCTCTCAAGCGCTCTCAGGCCCCTTGGTGTCATAGCGCACACGTTCGTGTGCCTCGCCCTGATTTCAAGCGTATTTACTGACTCTCCAAGACACAATTTCCGCTCAACCGATATAGAGATACTAGTCGCGCGAGGTCCGGCAGTCGCTTTCGCGCTCGCCACAAGCCTTAAGGACCCCGTTGGCCCTTCGTCGTTGCGGCATCTGAGGACGCTCAGCATGAGGAGTCTACGCGCCTAGCAGACGCTGCTCTCGAAGTGACTCTTCAGATAGTTGTCGGATTATTTGCTCGATGTTTCGATTATCAATCATCTTTCCAGAACGTGCTTACCTCAATACTCGTGCTCTCTCGATCTTCTCTCTACTCGTTAGTAGGATCAGAGTTGCAGAAGCTGAATAATGACTAGAGAGTGAGAATATACAGAGTGATGAGCATAGACGCGCGCCAATTGAATATGATAGAACTCTCGCGATATTACAACCATGCATTAAAAGCTAGAGACTTCCTGAATATCTATAAGTCAGGGCTTACCTAAAGCGAATGACATGCCGAAATGATGCTAGCGAACTCTACTAGTCGTGGCTGTCATCGATAGAATAAACAAATAACAAGTACTAGGTAGCTCGATATGGATAGATTATATATATAAAAGCACTCTGCATACTTCCTCTCAATTGGACTCTCTCTCCACCGGTTTCCATATATATAGATCTCGCCTGACGACAGCTGATATAGGTGGCGGAAAGTCACAAGTGAGTGGCCATCACCGAGAGACAGACTCGAACATGCTGCCGGTGCTCTCTCTCTGGTCGATAGAGAGAGCAATGACGCAATTTGTCCAAACCTGGACTCTAACGTTGACGAGACCCTCACACTACAGCTTGGTGAGAAGCGGAGTTTCACCTCTCTCCCCCTCTCTGTCTGTTCCCTCTCTTTCCCCCTTTTTAGAGGACTGACCCATTGTACCTGTAATAGGTAACATACAGTTCCGTATACTTTAGCCCGTAATGCTAATGTAAGTGACAAATCTTTGAGGTGCTGCATCCACTATCCATGGAGCTTTGAGTAATAACTCAGGGGGTTGAAGAAAGCCTGTACCTGCATTACCCAAACAGGAGCCATAGGAACTGAATGCACATGGATAGGCAACTGACACCTGGTATTTGGGAACGGAAGGTCCCTGGTTTGAGTCATGTCGACGCCTGCTTCTTTTTGGACCTCATTAGTCACTCATTACACGGATTCGCCAATTGCAATGAGTTCACTATAATTTTTACTTCCTTACTCCACTATATACCAATCTCCCTCCCTCCTTCTCTCCCTCCTTCTCTTCCTCCCTCTCTCTCCCTCCCTCCTCCTCTCCCTGACAGAACGTACACTAGAGGACCACGAGAAAGTTCTAGGAAGCCTGTCCCACTGGCCCCGAGGCAGCACCAACAGCATCGTCTTCAAGAACAATCCGGAGAAGTACTACCTTCTGAAGAGACCCCAGATGCTGATGCCCAGTTCTCACGTGTATTCCAGCGTCAATGTGACTCGCACAGCCTTCACTGAGGAGCAGAAGAAGAACATCATTCTAAAGGTCAGATTTAACTAGTGACATCATCACATACTGTATATTTTTATGGTACAGATTGCATGTTTAACCAATATTTGTGTACCAATATGCAACGTGGACACAAAAGATATTTGGTAGATTTTCAACCCAAAGCTTAATTATACACAGATGTGATATTGTGTGCATGGAGCAATATATTTCTCCCAGTTTGTGCAGCATTTAGTTTAGTTTGCAATTTATAATGTACGCAAAATGCTGTTAGAAAATTGCAATGATGGTCAAATGGATGCAGCTTATACAGTATGTATTGCTCTGTGTTATGTATGTGTATGTCTGGAAGATGATTGTGTTTTGTCTTGGTGCCATGTTTGTCTGTCGAATTTTCGTCAAAAGCTGTGAGCATTAGACAGTCTATTGTTCCCAACAATAACCCCTTCCTCACTAGCTGGCTTCAGCACTTTAGTCATAGTGTGTGTTCAGTTTATGTAGGCATATACAGTATAGCGTCATTCTATAAAAGAGACCCCCCCCCACAGGAGCTGTTCAACAACAAGATCCTGCCAAAGCTGGAGGGAGATCTCCACATCAGAGACGGCAAGAAGAGCAGTTGGAAGAAACACCTCTTTGTGTTGAGGGCCTCTGGCCTCTACTATTCCCGCAGTGGCAAATCCCTGGTCAGTCACACTCCCGTAGTATATACTGTAGCTTTTACTGGCTATTAGAACATGGATATGCGGTTTGGTGGATTAGCTGAGCTAGCTGATGGGCTATTCATTCAACATCTAATGTTATATGACGTGTCTTCTGTCTTTTACAACATGCATGCAAAGCACTATCGTATAATGTGCCTTGGAATTTCAAAACCAACGCATGCCAGCTAGCTGTAAACCATTAGTGCTATTTACAAAGCGGAATTCCTTTCGTATGCATTGTCTTCCGGAATGTAATCGTTTCAGCTCTAGAATAATGCAGACAAAATATTGTTGCTCTCTTCGCTCATAGAATTCAGTGTAATATTGTTGTGGGTGCTATATATGAAGCTCTTGGATGCTTCCTTTTTTGTCATTTTGCCAAAACATTTTCAAGTTTACGCAAAGAAGAGTTCCGTGTAGATTTTGTACAAGGTGCATGTGTTTGGCAAATGGCCACTGTTTGTCTTGAAACTGAATGTTTAGACTTGTGTACTGGAGTATGCACACGTCTGTCTACATACACATGTATACATATGTACATTCACAATGCTTCAGAATGTATGTAGTATATATAGCGTTAAGACTAGAACACTAGCCTTGCGGCGCATTGAAGTTAGTCGCTACAGTTAGTATTTACCAGTGGTTTAGCTATTGCTCCAGTGTGTCCCACTGTATAGGTGTAGTACATATTGTGGCCACATGTATAGTTGGAAGTCGCTGTAAGTATTGCCCGATTGGTTGCCTCTTTCACTGAACCTGTCTCTACTGCGGACATTTCTTAGTGGAAGTTTCCAGAAGTCTCCCTGAACCATCCAGTCCTTGGGGTAAACTCTACACTACCACTTTCAGTAGACCCGCTTGCTTCTGTCACTGAGGAGTCAAACTCATGCTGGTGTATACGTATGTCCTCCATTTTGTCCTACCATTGGCTTGTGTACGTCACTATATACTGTCACTGGATGCTGTCACTGGATGCTGACACTGGATGCTGACACTGTTTTCTCTCCCCCCAACCACCACAGGCCAGTAAGGACATAGTACGGGTGGTGGAGTGGAAGGACGTCGAGTGTTTCTCTGGAAAGCAACTACAAGAAGTTCTTCAGAGCTCCCGGACCACACTGCTTCTCTCTAGTGGTGAGGGGGTTAAATTATATCGCTGGCTGGCCCCGAGGGGTTAATTAAGGTTTGAAAGCCACAGTGGTGATGGATGCCATTGGAGGATCTGAACATAGACATTTCGGCCTTTTAAATACTTAATCATGTGTGATTACCACAGATTTACATACTCTATTTGCAACCTCCCCCCCTCTCTCTCCTCTACCTTCCTCCTCTCCCTCCCTCTCCCTCCCTCTCCTCCCTCCCTCCCACCCCAGCCGACGGGTTCGCTGGCCCGGAACGAGAAGAGGATCACACATCTCTGTGTCTCAAACAAACAGGACCTCATGGCATGGATCACCGGTATACGACTTGCCAAGGTGGGCTCCATTTAGACTCAGTCAAAGAATTCCATCCCAGCTACACATGGCTGCTTATTTAATAGTAGATAACGGACAGCAGGAAATACACTTTATAGGCCACCAAATGTCTAGCTTTAAGACCCAGTTTCGAATATTAAGTGATGTGCAATCTACAAACTTTCTAATGAAAGATTCCAAAACTAAGCCACTCCCTCTTCTCTGCCTGTAGCATGGTATTCAGCTGAAGCAGAACTACGAGGACACCAAGTCAGAGATGCCATGGCTGCAACTGGAGGACGATAATCTCGACCTAGTGGCCAAACCGGACGTAAAGACTCATGTGGAGGGGACCTCTTCTCTCTCACCTTCTGTGAGTAGAGATATCACTAACTACTACAGTAGCTCTTAGTATAATAATACGGTACCTAGCATCATAGATGTATGGGGCTATGATAGGGAGTTTTGTTCATCTTCTTCTTCTTCTTCTTCTTCTTCTTCTTCTTCGGGTACAAAAACAGCTATCACTAAGTACTGCAGTAGCTCTTAGTATATAGGGATGGGCATGGTACCTAGTAGCATCGTAGATGTATGGGGAAGTTTTGAAAGAGAAGGAAGGGAGAGGGTGGAGAAGAGAGAGGGGGGGGAGGAGAGGAAAGAGAAAGAAGGGAGATGAACGATAAAAAGGAGAATCTGCTGACTTGTGCACTGTGGGAAAGGGGGAAGAAGAAAGAGGCACAGTAAACACATCTCTCGTATGTGTATACCATCTTACACATGAAAACACAAGGCGTATGTATTAACAAACAAAGTGTAATTTATACACTGTGTTCTACACATGCAGCCTCAGCACAACGGAGTGGATTCCACTAGGAGGATCATATCATCTCACAGCGCTACTCACCTCCCGAGGCCAGACAGTACCGTCAGTAGAGGTACATACATACATACCTATGGCCCCCATACTGTATAATGCAGAGAGTCTTTGACTCCTAATTCATCAGTGACCCTGTATGATTAGCAATGTTACACGCATCATGCCTTATTCTAGCAGTTTTGGCAAGTGAGCGTGGAAAAAGTCTTTTGGCAGCCTTTGAATCAACTAACATCATCTAGTGCATAAGACAACATTGCAGACTTTGATTTGATTCATCGTCCATCCAGAATGGCAGTAGAATGGACAGTAGAATGGACAGTAGAATGGACAGTAGAATGGACAGTCGAATGGCAGTAGAATGGACAGTAGAATGGACAGTAGAATGGACAGTAGAATGGACAGTAGAATGGCAGTAGAATGGACAGTCGAATGGCAGTAGAATGGCAGAGAGCAGAGATGGACAGTAGAAAAGGACAGTAGAATGGCCGTAGAATGGACAGTAGAATGCAGTAGAATGCAGTAGAATGGCAGTAGAATGGACAGAGAATGGCAAAAACAAAACAAAAACAAAACAAAACAAAAACAAAACAAAAACAAAACAAAACAAAAACAAAACAAAAACACAACAAAAACAAAACAAAACAAACAAAAACACAACAAAACAAAACAACAAAACAGTAGAATGCAGTAGATGGACAGTAAATGCAGTAGAATGGACAGTCGAATGGCAGTAGAATGGCAGTAGAATGCAGAAATGCAAGAATGCAGTAGGACAACAGTGAATGCATAGAATGCAAGAATGCAGTGAATGCAGTAGAATGCATAAATGCATAAATACAGTAGAATGGCATAGATAAAGACATAGGCGTAATGGCAGTAAATGGACAGAGATGGCAGTAGAATGGACAGTAGAGGCAGTAAAGAAGACAGTCCGAATGGCAGTAGAATGGCAGTAGAATTGGCAGTAGAATGGACAGTAGAATGGCAGTAGAATGGACAGTCGAATGGCAGTCGAATGGCAAGTAGAATGGCAGTTAGAATGGCAGTAGAATGGACCAGTAGAATGGCAGTAGAAATGGCAGTAGAATGGCCAGTAGAATGGCAGTAGAATGGCAGTAGAATGGACAGTAGAATGGACAGTAGAATGGACAGTCGAATGGCAGTAGAATGGCAGTAGAATGGCAGTAGAATGGACAGTAGAATGGACAGTAGAATGGCAGTAGAATGGACAGTAGAATGGACAGTAGAATGGACAGTAGAATGGCAGTAGAATGGCCAGTAGAATGACAGTCGAATGGCAGTAGAATGGCAGTAGAATGGACAGTAGAATGGCAGTAGAATGGCAGTCCTGGAATCCACTCGACACTCTTCCCTTTATTACTTTCCCCTCCCCTCCCCTTCCTCCCCCCTTCCCAAGGTTCCCGGGACTCTCTCTCTCCAGCGGTCAGTTCCAGTCACATTATCTCGGGTCCGGTATCGGCCAGTGGATGTTCCACTGTACTGCGCAGAGCCAGGGCACAACACAACGCTCTCGCCAATGCCTTCGAGGGTGCCTGGAAACAGGGGAACCTGACTGTAGAGGTGTGTTTCCGTGTGTTTCCATGTGTGTGTGTGTGTGTGTGTGTACTAGAATGAATTGAACATGAGTGCGAGATTTCAGCTGTTTTATGCACGAATTATGGTATGGAAAACAATGCGTATTTCTACACAACAATGGTAGAAAAATCACGCAACACACTGTTCTATGTGGGCTTGCTATCGTTCTGGTCTTTTTAGCTGTATCCATTACGTAACACTCTCTAAGCTTTGCCGAAATGGGATAGTGTTGCGGTTGTACTGTAGTGCAGGTGATGTCTTACAGTCATAAAGGAGCCTACTCATCTGGTCCAAATTGGCTATAAGTAATTTTAATTCGTAGCAAGTCTTATGGCTCTCGTTCGCAAATGTCTGGCTGGATTAATACCATGAAGTAGCAATATTTTTTGCAAATGTTTTCGTACACCCTGAATCACGTAAGAAGTCATCTTCTAGTAGTGGCTAGTTCCAGGTTTGTGAAAGAGAATGAGAGCCGCACCCAATGTTTAATTCCCATAGTATATACACTCTCACCGTGCTTTATGGTGTCACAGTCCTTTATCAACCGAACCGCCACATTCATTTCTCCAGATGAACAGAGACTCACAGGTGTGGCCATCATTCTCAGCCCCCTCCAAGAACTCCCCTGATTGTCGTCAATCACCAGGGGCCACCCCAAACTCTGCGAACCCATCGACGCTTCCCTACGAGGAGGAAATGTCGGGGATGGTCACGCTGAAGAGGAAGAAGAACGGGGGAGGGGGGGCGGAGGGTGATCTGTCTCGCTCGTCCTCTGTTTCCTCCCACTCGCAGAGGTCGTCTTCAAGTAGTGGCGGAGGTCACAGGATAAGAAGTCAGTCCACTGATCCGGGACTGAGTAACAGAACTTCTCGTGGCACTTCCCACAACCATAACTGAATATACCCAACACCTCTCAACCCCACACTCGGCTAATAATTTATTGTTTCACTACATTACTGATACATTACTGATGTTCAGAAAACTAATGTTACTCAATGGCTTGTAATCTGGTGTGGTATAATGTGTGTGATGCTGTGTGTATATATGTAACTTACTGTTGAACAGTAGAATGTGTTGATATATTATTATTATAGTTTGATGAAAAATTTTTGTTTTAGTCATGCAGATGTGAAGACGCCTGCTACATGCTGGCAAACGTACGCGAGCAAATCAGTGAAGCAACGTTGTATAACCAATTTGGAGTAATATTGTGACTGCTTACCCATCATTACACTCTAGCGAACGGAGGTGGTCGTAATATCACGCGCAGCGACCAAATTGATGAGGCAATGTTGACGCATACGCAAGGTTAACAAAACGAAGCTAGGCTACACTGCAACACATAATATACCTCGAAAAGGAAAATGCTGGCGACAACTCCAATACTGTTTGCAGTTTTTCTAGCAGTGAATGTGCGCGCAATAATTCCGTTGCCGTGTGCCGACCGTATCGACAGCTTTGCAACTCGCACTTGTTGCCCGGTTCCCGACCTCCCGGATGCCGGTCCGTGCGGCGCCAATCTCGGCAGAGGCTCGTGTCGACCAGTCGCCGTCCCTGACTCAAAGTTCGACGCGGAGCAGAAGGACGTCCGCGTCAATTGGCCGATCCAGTATTTCAATAGTACGTGCGTCTGCAACGAGAGATTCGGCGGCGTGGACTGCGGGGAGTGCAGCTACGCCTACAACGACGGAGGAAACTGCGAGCAGAAAACAGTCCTTCCACGTAAATCGGTCGGAAATATGACCGGTAACGAATGGGCGTACTACCGCGCGGCATTGCAGGCGGTGAAGTTCGGCTCAGCTCGCTACGTGGTGTCCACTGTAAACTTCACCACGGATCTGGAAACGCTGATGGAGTCGTTGGTGCGACCGACAACATACGACCTCTTCACTTGGATCCACTACACGGCCGCCAAGGACAACATGGTCACTCTGGGTAAGTCGTGCAGAATGCGCACGCGCGTGATTTCAGCTATAGTCCTGCAGTAAGTTTGCGGAAAAGTTGCATACATTAGCCATTGTGCAAGTGCTAAGGTTGAGATAAGCAAGCTTGTAATACAGTCCGGCTTTTTTTTATCAACTATGGCCAATTTTTTGGGCCCTGCAGACACGGACCATTTCGTGGACTATGCTCATGAAGGCCCGGGGTTCCCCACGTGGCACCGACAGCTAATACTGTGGCTGGAGAGAGAGATCCAGGTACAGATCCACGACCACACCTTCAGACTGCCCTACTGGGACTGGCGCGACCCCTCCCAGCGAGAAATCCTCTTCAAGAGAGACAGACTTGGAGAGAACGTGAATGGAATAGTAGTCGGAGATCTGTTCACAAACTGGAAGACGTTTTGCTGGGAGAACCCCACAGGACTAAGTTATCCTGTCCCTCTATGCGATCCAACCGTCTCTGATAATCAAATTCTTCGTCGCTGCCCACACCCCAACACTTACCTCTGCGAGAGGAACGGGACAAATTGGCCCACATACGGAGACGTCAAAAAGGCGCTATCTATTGAAAACTACGACACTTTTCCCTACACCAGATTTGTTGAGGAGACGGGGACTAGCTTTCGTAACTATTTCGAGGGTTTTATCACAAGACGAGGCGTGGACTGTGGAGGTGACACTATGTGTACTGTGGACAGAGTCAAGAACGTGACAGTTGTTCGGAAACTCCACAACTCTGTGAGTAAAAAACATCGACAAGTTTTAGCAATAATACCTATGCCTATATGTGTCAAAATCACCCACCACCATGTTCCACCACCTCATGATAAGTGTGTCACACCTTACTCTTTTCAGCGTGTGAGCCTTACAAAATATTGAGGTGCAACCTCTCAAAGTCCCCTGTACACCACTGCTACTTCAACCTTTGAGTTATAATACAAGAGTCACCTTTCGTGCAAACATCTACTAAGTATAATTATAACACCCGTGAAGATAATTTTTTTTCATTTCGTCTATATACACAGGTCCATGTAGTGGTAGGGATGGGGGACTTCAAAACTGGACTGCACATACCATTCAACCATTCCGGAGCTATGGCCTTTGTGGCTTCCTCCCCCAATGACCCTGTCTTTGTAAACCACCACATCATGGTGGACTGTGTTCTGGAGCAGTGGATACAGAGAAATAGGGATTCCCTCTCCTACCCAGAGTCCGATGAGATCAGAGAGGGCCACAGAGCCACTGACTACATCGTCTCCTTCATCCAGCTGTTCATGCAAAAGGATATGCTCAAGACCGCAGATAACTTTGGTTATTCTTGCGATCTGCCCAAAACACATTAACTATTAGATGTTTCGTTGCCATTATTGTAGCCAAGTAATTCAACCCTCACCGCGCATGCACACCAAATATTTTATCGCAATTTCTTTGAGGATTTTTCTGAAAACTGCTCCTACTTTTATCTCTTTAACAATTATTTCTGTTCAACGAGTTCAAGATGTACCTTGTTCCCACTACTATAATACAGTCTTAGAGCACATGCATAATAAGACCAACGCTTGCTGCAGTCATCCCAATAATGATGGAGTTGTAAGCGTGCAACTGCAGGGGGTAGGAAGAGCCAGTTGAACATTCGTAGCCGAAATTGTCCGCAGTCTTGAACATGTCCTCGTGGGTGTAGAGAGGGATGAACGGAACTATGTAGTCGTTTCCTCTGTGGCCTTGGCGGATTTTGTAGCATTGTGGGTAAGGTGTGTTGGGATTTTCCCACAGCCATTTCTCCAGGATGCAGTCAATGTTGGCATGGTGGTTGATGAAGACTGGATCATTGGGAGAAGCCGCTACACACGCCATTACACCTTGGTATTCAAATGGTGGCGGATCCTTAACATCTCCCACACCAAGAAGTATGTGTACCTGCAATAGATGGCAAACAAGCAATGATGAACATGAGAAGTGTTAAAGCATTGAGGTTTATACAGTGCTAGTCACGAAGTATTGTGCAATGCAGACGGACTAGGCAGGCACATGCTTTATTGTCAAGAGTATATTGAATGCTTACCGAGTTGTGTAGTTTTCTGGTAATATTAACCTTTCCAATACTACAGAGAGGGTCACTCCCACAGTCATCCGGATTGACAACAAATCCCTCCATGAAGTTGCGAAAGCTATTGTCCCGACTCGGGACATACCTATCATACGGCTTATCATCGTAGGTTTTAACGGCAAGTGCATCATTCACGTCAGCCTCGCTGGGCCAGTTGGGATTGTCTTTCTTGCAGAACGTGTCGCAGGGACAGCGACGGAGAGTTTCACCAGACGATACTGTCGGATCACAGATGGGGATTGGGTAACTCTTTCCCGTGATGTCCTCCCAACAGTGGGTCTCCCAGTTAGTGAAAAGGTCTCCCACCACTTCTCCGTTCAGGTGCTCTCCAAGTTTGTCTCGAGTGAAGATACTCTCTCTCTGCGAGGGTTGTGTCCAGTCCCAGTATGGTAGTCTAAAGGTGTGATCACTGATCTCTATCTGTATCTCCCTCTCCAGCCAGAGTAGGAACAGTCTGTGCCAGGTGGGGAACCCTGTCCCCTCGTGGGCATAGTCAGTAAAATCATCTGTGTCTATACACAAAACAAAAATATATTCAGACAGAAGAGATGTCGAGGTAGTATCACAGTCACACAACCGCATTCCTAGATTGCGCATGCGCAAAAACTCGGGCTTGGCGCCGTTTGGCGATCAATTTTTCGTGCCCATTCCCGATGTCACGATTTGCAAACGACTATAATTATAGGCGAGGCAGCAGGAGCGTATACAACTGCGCATCCGTTTGCTTCGTTTCGTTTACACTGCGCGATCTAGCCAGTGAGAGATATCAATCTTCGTGGTTTTTCCAAGATGGCTCATGCAGATAAAGCTACAAGAGGAATGCCCTACTCTACTACTTACTCAGAGTGATATCATTATCTTTGGCCACAAAGTGGTGGAGCCACACAAACAGGTCGTAGGTAGTGGGTTGGACTAAGGAGTCATTCACGACTTGTGGGTCATCACTAAAAGGGCTTGTAGCCACCATGTAACGCGCCGGAGAGCCCTTGATAGACCTTAGAGCATTATGATAGACCCGCCAGTCATTTGATGACATTTCGGAGACTGGTAAACGAGGAAACAATGTCTTCGTCGTGCATTCGGTTGTGTTGTCGTTGTAGGCGTAGCTGCACTCTCCGCAGTCCACGCCGCCGAATGTCTCGTTGCAGACGCACGTGAATTTGAAGTACTGGATCGGCCACTTTTTTCGCACGTCTTTTTCAGAGGAATTGTATTCCGATTCTGGGATTTCGATTGCCTTGCAGCTGCCCCTGGACTCCGGGAGTTTGGATCCGCAAGGTCCGGCGTTCTGGCCGAGGTAGTCGGGAGTAGGGCAGCATTCTCGAGCTCTGAGATCCTCGACATTGGCGCAGGGTAGCGGAATGATGGCATTCACTACCGCGACCACCGCGGCTAGATAAAAGACGAGAAAAAGCATCGTGTCAAGTAGTCGTAGCTAGAAACGCAGCGCGAGCAGCATAAAAGAAGGGGCCGCACGTGCGCGCGCGGAATATATTCACCTCCCGGGTAAATACTGCTTACATGTCTAGTCTGTGTTGACGCATACCGCGCGGACCCCGACGTAGACGGACCCGTCGGGTTCACAGTTTTCCCCGTAGTAATGATAGCTGCGCCCTATCTCACTCCCAATCCTACTGTATGCCTACTAGCCTTTGTTCACTACATTAGTAGTGAAAGCTTGACCATCTGTGCTTACCAACCATGCCTTACAATGTATAATTATCATAACATTCCTAGAATATTGATAAGTATCTTCCTGTTTTGAGTCCAAAGTGGGGAGGAAAAGCCCCTATATAGCTATGTGGCTAGTACAATACTTAGTCCTAGCAATATATGTCCTACACAAGTCAGAATGTAAACCCTCCCATCAAAGCTACTGCTTTTGGTGCAAGAAGGGTCTTGACGTTTGCGTGAGCGGGGACACCCAGTGCCTCCAGTATCGAGGTATTCGTAACCGAAATTGTCCGCAGTTTTGAACATGTCCTCGTGGGTGTAGAGAGGGATGAATGGAACTATGTAGTCTTTTCCTCTGTGGCCATGGCGGATTCTGTCATCTTGTGGGTAGACGAGATTGTCTTTGTTTTGAACCAGCCACTCTTCCAGGACGAAATCAATTTTTCCGTGGTGGTTGATGAAGACTGGATCATTTGGAGAAGCAGCAACACATGACATTACACCTTGATCTTTAAAATCAGCAGGGGCATTCTTAATGTCCCCCAAACCTAGAATTATGTGTACCTGCAACAATGGACAACAGCACATTATTACAAATTGAAACACTTGTCATATGTACCGTGTTGTGAAGCTTTCTGGTGATGTTTTCATGTGCCCTTCCTTCTTGTTGGCTGCACAATGTGTCCTCGTCACAATTATCCGGGTCGACAATGAACCCCTCCATGTAGTTACGAAAACTAGTGTCCACTCCCTTGACAGATCTGTTATAAGGATAAGCATCGTAAGTGTCTATAGAGACTGCATCTTTAATGTCAGTCGTGCTGGGCCAGTTGGGATTGTCCATCTCGCAGAGAGCAGCCCTTGGACAGCGACGGAGAGTTTCACCAGACGGTACTGTGGGATCACAGATGGGGATTGGGTAACTCTTTCCTGTGATGTCCTCCCAACAGTGGGTCTCCCAGTTAGTGAAAAGGTCTCCCACCACTTCTCCGTTCACGTGCTCCCCAAGTTTGTCTCGAGTGAAGATACTCTCTCTCTGGTGTGATCATTGGTCTCTATCTGGATCTCCCTCTCCAGCCAGAGTAGGAACAGTCTGTGCCACGTGGGGAATCCTGTCCCCTCGTGGGCATAGTCAGTAAAACCATCTCTGTCTATACACAAAACAAAAATATACTCAGACAGACAGAGATGTCGAGGTAGTATCCAACCGCTTTCCTAGATTGCGCATGCGCAAAAACTCGGGCTTGGCGTCGTTTGGCGATCAATTTTTCGTGCCCATTCCCGATGTCACGATTTGCAAACGACTATAATTATAGGCGAGGGAGCAGGAGCAGCCTGTATACAACTGCGCTTCCGTTTGCTTCGTTTCGTTTACACTGCGCGATCTAGCCAGTGAGAGATATCAATCTTCGTGGTTTCCAAGATGGCTCGTGCAGATAAAGCTACAAGAGGAATGCCCTACTCTACTACTTACTCAGAGTGATATCATTATCTTTGGCCACAAAGTGGTGGAGCCACACAAACAGGTCGTAGGTAGTGGGTTGGACTAAGGAGTCCTTCACGACTTGTGGGTCATCACTAAAAGGGCTTGTAGCCACCATGTAACGCGCCGGAGAGAGCCTTTATAGACCTTAGAGCTGTTATGATAGACCGCCAGTCATTTGATGACATTTCGGGGGACTGGGTAAACGAGGGAGGAAACAATGTCTTCGTCGTGCATTCGGTTGTGTTGTCGTTGTAGGCGTAGCTGCACTCTCCGCAGTCCACGCCGCCGAATGTCTCGTTCGTTGCAGACGCACGTGAATTTGAAGTACTGGATCGGCCACTTTTTTCGCACGTCTTTTTCAGAGGAATTGTATTCCGATTCTGGGATTTCGATTGCCTTGCAGCTGCCCCTGGACTCCGGGAGTTTGGATCCGCAAGGTCCGGCGTTCTGGCCGAGGTAGTCGGGAGTAGGGCAGCATTTTCGAGCTCTGAGATCCTCGACATTGGCGCAGGGTAGCGGAATGATGGCGTTCACTACCGCAACCACCGCGGCTAGATAAAAGACGAGAAAAAGCATCGTGTCAAGTAGTCGTAGCTAGAAAAACGCAGCGCGAGCAGCATAAAAGAAGGGCCCGCACGTGCGCGCGCGGAATATATTCACCTCCAGGGTAAATACTGCTTACATGTCTAGTCTGTGTTGACGCATAACACGCGGACCCCGACGTAGACGGACCCGTCGGTTCACAGTTTTCCCCGTAGTAATGATAGCTGCGCCCTATCACACTTCCAATCCTATTGTATGCCTACTAGCCTTTGTTCACTACATTAGTAGTGAAAGCTTGACCATCTGTGCTTACCAACCATGCCTTACAATGTATAATTATCATAACATTCCTAGAATATTGATAAGTATCTTCCTGTTTTGAGTCCAAAGTGGGGAGGAAAAGCCCCTATATAGCTATGTGGCTAGTACAATACTTAGTCCTAGCAATATATGTCCTACACAAGTCAGAATGTAAACCCTCCCATCAAAGCTACTGCTTTTGGTGCAAGAAGGGTCTTGACGTTTGCGTGAGCGGGGACACCCAGTGCCTCCAGTATCGAGGTATTTGTAACCGAAATTGTCCGCAGTTTTGAACATGTCCTCGTGGGTGTAGAGAGGGATGAATGGAACTATGTAGTCGTTTCCTCTGTGGCCTTGGCGGATTCTGTCATCTTGTGGGTAGGAGAGATTGTCTTTGTTTTGCACCAGCCACTCTTCCAGGATGAAATCGATTTTTCCGTGGTGGTTGACGAAGATTGGATCATTCGGAGAAGCCGCTACACACGACATTACACCTTGTTGTTCAAATGGTGGTGGATCCTTAACATCTCCTATACCAAGAAGTATGTGCTACCTGCAATAGATGGCAAACAAGCAATGATGAACATGAGTACAAACAGTAGCCTCAAGTGTTTGAGGTTTATACAGTGCTAGTCACGAAGTATTGTGCAATGCAGACGGACCTTAATGTTCCCCAAACCTAGAATTATGTGTACCTGCAACAATGGACAATAGCACATTTTTACGAATTGAAACACTTATCGTACGTACCGTGTTGTGAAGCTTTCTGGTAATATCTTCATGTGCCCTTTTTCCTTCTTGTGGGCTGCACAATGTGTCCTCGTCACAATTATCTGGGTCGACAATGAACCCCTCCATGTAGTTACGAAAACTAGTGTCCACTCCCTTGACAGATCTGTTATAAGGATAAGCATCGTAAGTGTCTATAGAGACTGCATCTTTAACGTCAGCGGTGCTGGGCCAGTTTGGATTGTCCATTTTGCAGAGAGCAGCATTTGGACAGCGACGCAGAGCTTCATTAGATGATACAGTTGGATCACAGATGGGGACTGGGGTGACAACAACATCATGTCCTCCCAACAGTAGGTGTCCCAGTTGTTGAAGAGGTCTCCCTGAACTACACCTTCCACGTTCTCACCGAGTCTGTCTCGAGTGAAGAGAATTTCTCGCTGGGAGGGATCGCTCCACTCCCAGTATGGTAGTCGAAAGGTGTGGTTCACTGATCTCTATCTGGATCTCCCTCTCCAGCCAGAGTAGGAACAGTCTGTGCCAGGTGGGGAACCCTGTGCCCCTCGTGGGCATAGTCAGTAAAATCATCTGTGTCTGCAAAAGGCATCAACATTGCTCATTACTATACCGTGCGCCCGCGGTTTTGCGGAATCCGCGCCCCGGGCCGGGGAGCGCGCAGGTAGAATATAGCTAGTATTATAGTAGCTAACAGTAGCTATACAATTCCGGCTTACATTTTGTAAATTCATTGTCTTTGGCCACTAGGTGATGTATCCAGGTGAACAGGTCGTAGGTGTTTGGCTGAACCAAAGAGTCATTCAGTGCTTGTATATCCTCGGTGAAAGTCGCTTTTCGCCACCATGTAGCGGGAGGGGGTGTCCTTCACGGCTCTCAGGGCGGCGCGGTAATCCGTCCAATCATTTGTGTCCATAGCACCGACTGAAACACGTGGAAGAACGGTTTTAGTTTCGCAGGCTCCTCCATCGTTGTACCCAAAGCTGCACTCTCCGCAGTCGAATCCGCCGTAGTTCCCGTTGCACTTGCAGGTCCTGTTGAAATACTGAATCGGCCACTTCTTCCTGATATCCGTCTCCGAGGGCACGAACTCAGATTCGGAATCGAGATAGGCTCGCAGGAGCCTCGCCCAAGGTTGACGCCGCACTGCCCTGCACCGGATTGATCGGGAACTGGGCAGCAGGTACGACTTCCGAGACTCTCTACATTGGCGCATGGAAGCGGAATGATAGCGTTCACCTTTACCGCCAGAAACCCAGCGAAAATTAGTACTGAAAACAGCATTTTGCAGTGACACACAAAAAGCTCACAGTCAAGCAAAAGTGACCAGTGCAAGTCCCAAGCTCGTCGTATTATAGGTGCGGGGGAGGCGCCAAAAGGGGCGCGCTCATTATGCAGTTTCGAGGGGCTCCCTATATTGCGCATGCGTGATCCGCGCATCATCATAATTATTTGGCGCCAAAACAGGGGGGCGCTCGTACTCCGCGCAGCGCTTTAGCATGCGCATGCGTGATCCGCGCATCACGTGCAAGGGCATCTAAGCTAAGAGAGTACTCGAGTCGTCTGCAAGCTTTCAGGTTCTCAGCTTCTCAAGTTTCAGATTATAACATCAGGATAATATTTTTATGGGGGTTTTACTCTCTAAGCAACCTTGTGTGTAATTATAGGTATCAAACGATAATCAGTGTAGTGTAGGCCTGGATGGAGAAAGCCGAGCATCTGTAGCCAAAATTATTGGCAGTCTTGAACATATCATTGTGAGTGTGTAGCGGCATGAACGGCACGATGTAGTCGCCTCCTCTGTGGCCGACACGGATTTCATCAGATTGCGGGTACAAGAGAGCGTCTTTGTTCTCCTGCAGCCATTTTTCTAGGATGCAGTCAATGTTGGCGTGGTGGTTGATGAAGACTGGATCATTCGGAGAAGCCGCTATACACACGACATTACACCTTGTTGTTCGAACTCAGGTATCTTATCCTCCACCAAGTCACCTAACCCTAAGAGTATGTGCACCTGTATTGCCACGAATTATTATACACATTACAAATTGTGACTCACTGAGTTGTGGAGTTTTCGTGTGAAAACTCTCTGTTTGACTTCTCACTATATACACAGTTTTTCAGCTTGGTCTTCCATGTCACACTGTAGCCGTAGCCGAATTGTCCGCAGAGGTCTCCCCAAAACACTTAAGCTATATACCATGCTATTATAATAATTGGTCTCTTGTACATGAATAGTTTTGTGGGTGCTGCCCCTGCATGATTGGAAAGCAAAACAAGGGTTGCTATACATACAGGCATTGTGCATCCATAAAATTATTATGTAGCATCCATGCCCAGTGACGTCTGACTATACAGCTCATTACATATATAGTCAGGGTGTTCGACCAGAGTTGCGAAAGTGGTGAGTTGATGGGATCTCGATGTCAACAAAAAGTTACCCTTCCTCCAATGTCATGCAAAAAAATTGCAGTTCCAGCAGAAAAAAAAGCGTAGTCATGTGCAAGGTTAGTAGTGCCAATTTATAATACAGTTATGTTCAAAACTAACAGAATCAGGTATAGTCCCAGTTCTATACTATACTAAACATGTTCTCTATTGCACTTGTATATAGCTGGGTTAGTCTAAAACACTGTCATAATCAGAGCAACAGCCGCTACTATCATGACGAAAGTAGTGGAAGCTTTTATAGTGGCCTGAGTGGAGAATAAATCGGGACATTCATAGCCGAAATTATCAGACGTGTTGAACATCTGATGGTGGGTGTAGAGCGGCATGAATGGTACTATGTAGTCATATTTTCTGTGGCCTTCACGAATTTGTTCACATAGTGGGTAATACAGAATATCCTTGTTTTTCTTAATCCAGTTCTCCAGCATACAGTCGATCATTGCGTGGTGGTTGATGAAGATTGGATCGTTTGGAGAAGCCGCAACACATGACATGACACCTTGGTATTCAAACGCAATGCTACACTCAAGATCACCTACCCCTAAAATAATGTGGACCTGCAGTTAAAATTTAGCAACATTAGCCAAGTATTTGGGATACACCAAGATCTTACCGTGTTGTGAAGTTTTCTGGTAACGGCAGGCATGCTGGAAGACTTAGCTGGAGTGCATAGAGTATCATCTTCCTCACAGCCGTCAGATTTAACGACAAACCCCTCCATAAAATTGCGAAAACTTGGCTTTTTTGATTGGTTGACGTATCTGTCGAAGGCAATGGCATCATAGTCTTCTATGTTGATTGCTTCATTCACATCACTTGCACTAGGCCAGTTGGGGTTTTCCTTAATGCAGAGTTTAGGATTGGGACAGCGGCGGAGGACTTGGTTAGAGGATATTGTTGGATTACAGATAGGGATCGGGTACTCGATTCCTTTAGTGTCTTCCCAGCAAGAAGTGGTCCAGTTTGTAAACAAGTCTCCGATTACTACTCCATCCACACTCTCTCCAAGTCTTTCTTTCTTGAAGAGGATTTCTCGCTGGGAGGGGTCGCGCCAGTCCCAGTATGGTAGTCTGAAGGTGTGGTTCTTGGTCTGTACCTGGATCTCTCTCTCAAACCAGAGTAGGAGTTGTCTGTGCCATGTGGGAAAGCCTGTCCCCTCGTGAGCATAGTCCACCAAATTCATCTCTACACAACGGCATAGACATTGTTATGTAATGGCCTTCGCCTAGCAAAACAAGCACACCTACTATTTGACTTCACTACATCTAATTGCTAACACTATTGGAATCCCCGCAACTTTCCCATTCTGATGGTATCCAAAGTTACTGTATGTCCTATACAATAACAAAAGTGAATGTGGTGCCTACAGTTTACACAACCATTTCCGGGGCTCAATAGCCTCGGAACGAACCCAACCCCGTTCTTCGATATCGACGCGGAGTATACAGTTATTCCGCGCATGCTCACGCGTACCCGTTGCTGCACATGCGCGAAACGCTTCGCTTGCGCTACCGGCCCGTGCACGCACCCAGCGCTTTGCTACCGACGAAACGTATGCTCTCTCTGTAAAGGCTCTGCGTGTGGAGTTTTAGGGGCGTAGGCAGGATTTTAGAAATGAGGGGGCAAAAACGAAAAAGCGCGCATGAAGCGCGCGCGAATATTTTTATACCGGAATCCGCGCTCGTAATTTACACAGGAAGCCGGAAGTAAAAGTGTGCATGCTTTCATATCGCGAAGGCGTAAAGCGGTCGCGTTGCCGTCACTCCAACTGTCTTTGCTGACTCAAGGGAGTAACGTAAGCTAGTCTCGCGTAGGCACTCACAGAGAAAAGCGTTTACCTGCTACGCCCCTGAGTTGGTACCACAAGCTAGTGATACTGGATCGGCCACTTCTTTCGCACGTCCCTCTCCGAAGAATCGTACTGCGAATCAGGAATTCTTATAAGCTCGCAGGAGCCGCGATCAGAATTTTCTCCGCACGGACCGGGGTTTCCAGCGAGGTTGGGAACTGGACAACACTCTATCAGCACATGGCAACGGAATGATGGCATTCACGTCGATCGCCGTGGATGCAAGAAATACGGCGAAAAAGCAGTGTTGCTTACTCCAATGAAAAGCACTGAAGTGCAAACCCTCGGCGCACTGTGACGCGCACGCGTAAGTCAACGCATGCGCTGTACCACTAATTGATGGGCTGGGTTTAGTTTTAGCTGTTACTCGTGGTCTCTTGCCAGCTCGCGCAGAGTCTGACGCGGGCTAACTACACTACTAGATAGCATGCGAGAGGCGATACACGCCCTGCGTTGCATCTTCTGGTGCCTCCGAGGTACGCTGAGCACGCGGATCGATCATGCCGTAGTAGCTAAGTATTTGCATATTGGCTTTTTCGCGCTCTAGCTTTGCAACGGAGCATTTTCAGAGAAAACCCCACAAATTTTCTGACCTTCGTTGCCAGTTGAGTAGGTAGTATCGTTTGTGAGACGAAAAAACATTGGGGAAGTGAGATGTCGAGTAACAGACACACAGAAGGACAGACAGACAGACCCAAGTACTGTAACCCTCGCTGCGCATGCGCGCCGAGGGTTAACAAGCAGATAGCCCGCGCGCGTGTGATATCTATAGCTCAGCTACACTCGCACTGTGTGTGGGCTTCGCGTGGCCGATCATCTTAGGGGTGGTCTATACGTATGTATAGTGTCCCACCAATCGTAACCACCATCTCATGGGACTAGGCTAGTCATAACAATGATTACAAGATAATTGAAAGTAGTACACCCAATTACCCCGGTGCGCATCGTATAGTACGTAGGTTGCGCCAACGACATTCAAAAAGAAAATTCCAAAACGTCTTGCCATAAAGTTATTGTAGCTATAGCTACATCGCTAGAGTGTGGTAATAATGCGTGTCCTTTCTATAATTGTGTCTAACAGCTATAGAAGGTGTTTTATGTGGCAGCTAGGAGTCTACTAACAAAACTACAGTTTCTTTACCCTAGAAGACTTCCACAAAAACTACTACTGCCAATGTAAGACCACAAATGAGGATATTGTAGGCTTTAGTTGAGACTGCTAAGCCTGGTTCGCCACTCTCAGTAGTAATACCTCCAGTTCCATCGGTATTAGGCTCATCTGTAGGTTCATCATCATCCGTATCAGGGTATTCGTAACCGAAATTGTCCGCAGTTTTGAACATGTCCTCGTGGGTGTAGAGAGGGATGAATGGAACTATGTAGTCGCTTCCTCTGTGGCCGTGGCGGATTCTGTCATCTTGTGGGTAGACGAGATTGTCTTTGTTTTGCACCAGCCACTCTTCCAGGATGAAATCGATTTTTCCGTGGTGGTTGACGAAGATTGGATCATTCGGAGAAGCCGCAACACATGACATTACACCTTGATCTTTAAAATCAGCAGGGGCATTCTTAATGTCCCCCAAACCTAGAATTATGTGTACCTGCAACAATGGACAATAGCACATTTTTACGAATTGAAACACTTATCGTACGTACCGTGTTGTGAAGCTTTCTGGTAATATCTTCATGTGCCCTTTCATCTTTTGGACTACACAATGTGTCCTCGTTACAATTATCTTTGACAATGAACCCCTCCATGTAGTTACGAAAACTAGTGTCCACTCCCTTGACAGATCTGTTATAAGGATAAGCATCATAAGTGTCAATTGAGATTGCATTTTTAACGTCAGTCGTGCTGGGCCAGTTGGGATTGTCCATCTCGCAGAGAGTAGCATTGGGACAGCGACGCAGAGCTTCATTAGATGATACAGTTGGATCACAGATGGGGACTGGGTGTGAAACAACATCATGTCCTCCCAACAGTAGGTATTCCATGAGTTGGTGAAGAAGTCTCCCTGAACTACACCGTCCACGTTCTCACCGAGTCTGTCCTGAGTGAAGAGAATTTCTCGCTGGGAGGGATCGCTCCATTCCCAGTATGGTAGTCGAAAGGTGTGGTCACTGATTTCTATCTGTATCTCCCTCTCCAGCCAGAGTAGGAACAGTCTGTGCCAGGTGGGGAACCCTGTCCCCTCGTGGGCATAGTCAGTAAAATTATCTGTGTCTGCAAAAGGCATCGAAATTACTCATTACTATATATACCTTGCGCCCCTTTTTTTGTGGAATCCGCGCCCCCGGGGAGCGCGCAGGTAAATATAGCTAAGTATATACAGTAGCTACAATTCCGGCTTACACAGTGTAAAATTATTGTCTTTGGCCACTAGGTGATGTATCCAGATGAACAGGTCGTAGGTGTTTGGCCGAACCAAAGAGTCGTTCAGTGCTTGTATATCCCCGGTGAAATCGCTTATCGCCACCATGTAGCGGGAGGGGGTGTCCTTGACGGCTCTCAGGGCGGCGCGGTAATCCCTCCAATTATTTGTGTCCATAGCACCGACTGAAACACGTGGAAGAACGGTTTTAGTTTCGCAGGCTCCTCCATCGTTGTACCCAAAGCTGCACTCTCCGCAGTCGAATCCGCCGTAGTTCCCGTTACACTTGCAGGTCTTGTTGAAATACTGAATCGGCCACTTCTTCCTGATATCCGTCTCCGGGGTACGAACTCAGATTCGGAAATGGAGATAGGCTCGCAGGAGCCTCGACTGTGGTTGGCGCCGCACGGCCCTGCACCGGGTTGATCGGGAACTGGGCAGCAGGTACGACTTCCGAGACTCTCTACATTGGCGCATGGAAGCGGAATGATGGCGTTCACATTTACTGCCAACAATCCAGCGACAATTAGTATTCGAAAGAGCATTATGTAGTGACACACAAAAAGCTCACAGTCAAACAAAAGTGACCAGTGCAAGTCCCAAGCTCGTCGTATTATAGAGGCGGGGGCGTAATACTCGGCGCCAAAAGGGGCGCGCTCGCTAATTACAGTTAGTTCGGGGTCCTTAGATTGCGCATGCGTGATCCGCGCATTAAAATATATTCGGCGGGGAAAAACAGGGGCGCGCCGCGCTTTAGATTGCGCATGCGTGATCCGCGCGTCACGTGCAAGTGCATCTAAGAGAGCATCGAGTCGTTTGCGAGCTTTCAGGTTATCAGTTTCTCAAGTTTAAGATTATAACATTAAAAAATGTTTATGGGGGTCTATGCACTCATAAAAAGCAACCGTGTGTGTAATTAGGTATGTACGGTCTATTGGTATCTATTACTCATGCATAACAATAGAAAATGCTATTAGACAAACGATAATCAGTGTAGTGTAGGCCTGGATGGAGAAGGCCGAGCATCTGTATATAGCCAAAATTATCGGCAGTCTTGAACATATTATGATTGTGAGTGTGTAGCGGCATGAATGGCACAATATAGTCAATGTTGGCATGGTGGTTGATGAGGATAGGATCATACGGAGAAGCCGCTACACACGACTATTCAAAACAGGTATCTTACCCTCCACCAAGTCACCTAACCCTAAGAGTATGTGCACCTCTGTATTGCCACGAATTATTACCGTATGTAGTAGTTTATACAAATTGATATATAGCACAGATCGGTGTAAAAAGGCGGGATTGGTATGCTGTATAGTTTGGGGAGGTATGTTATACATTGGTATGCTGTATAGTATTGAATATACTCTTTCAAAGGCGTTATATCAGGAGACTCCCTCCTCTTAGTGTAGCAGTATAATAATTATAGTCAAAACATGTAATTTGATATTTCAGAGTTTACGTGGTGTTGGGGGAGGTATATTATGTATAGGTTTGATGATGGCAAGTGTGCTCTATGAGCGCGCAGTGCTAATAGAGCACACTTGCCATGATCAAACCTACTTGGTATATGTTTCTCCAGCACAATGTCTGGATTCCCTATAAGGAAAGCAAAGTGGGTGTTGATTAGGGAGTGACTCAGGCCCGCCCTCTGCTGTTGGTGTTAGTACAGCCAAGTGGGTGCTCTTACTGGCCAATAACCATACCCTACTAGTAGGCGAATGCATGGCATTTTGCGAGCGGAGCGAGCACACAATGACTGTATCTGCATTAGCCATCCTAGCCTTGAACCTCAGAACCACGAAGATTGGAAAGAGGTATATACAGCCTCGGTCAGGTATTGAAGAGCGCAGCGAATGCCAGCGAATAGACGAGAGTTCTTTCGCTGAGATTTCGCATCGATATGACAGCTAGGCAGCGTGTAAAGAATATGCGCGTTCCCTGCTCAGGAGTCTCACTGACACGATGTTCTCTTTCCCTCTCTCTTCGACGACGAATGGCATCCTCTCAGACCGATGCGAGCTATATACACACACGCATCAGGCAGCCAGTAAAAATTTTGAAATCATTTCGGATAAAAAGAAGCGCGTAATCCTTTACGCGGTAAGAAAAATCGCGCCGTTAGGTTAGCTCGCTCCCGCTCGCCAATAATGTGCCGTTGCTGGGGATGGGCGAAGCCCCTGTAGGGGGGCGTGGCGGCACTCCCGACCACTGCCGCGGGACTAGACGAAGGCGGCAGAGGCTTCTGACCTCGTAGTCTCCTGGATTGGCGCAGAGCTCTCTGAGGCAGGGTCTCAGGAGTAGCATGCGCAACGGTTGTAGACCAGTCGGTTGATAAAAATAATACATGTACTTCCCTAGTACTTTCGGTGACGGATGACCTTCTTCAGGGGATGACTTTCTGGGGTAACGTGATAGCACAGATCAGTGTAAAAAGGCGGGATTGGTATGCTGTATAGTCTTGAATATACTCTTTCCAAGGCGTTATCAGGAGACTCCCTCATCTTAGTGAAGCAGTATAATTATAGTCAAAACATGTAATTTGATATATTTTCATAGGGAGTGGGGGGAGGTATTATTGCTCCCGCGCCCCCGCCCGTGCGCACGCTCGTCCAGTTGCCGGCGGGGGCGCGGCTTAGCCCGAGCCGCCCTGAGTCCATCGCTAAGGTTTGCATGCAGCGGCGATATCCGTTAGCGCCCAGACGCGTTAATGAACGGTTAGGCCTAGCTATAGCTACTAGTAGGCGAATGCATGGCATTTTTGGCGAGCGGAAGCGAGCTTACAAATGGGGTATAATCGTATGAGTCACGCTTGTGTGTGCACAAAACAGTGAGATACATTGCACAGGACCAAGTAGGCCGAAACAACCTTTTAGACCCGAGCGCAGTAGACAATTCGAGAGTCAAAAACAGTCAGACGACAGCGCGAATCAGGCATAATCCGGCAATCTGATTGGTCTTGCAGGAATAGGGAACAATTGGCAATGTAGAAAAATCTTCGCTGGACTGTGCAGCAATTCTCGATAGCTTCGGAGGTGTTCGAGCCTGTCGTGTTGATTCCGCTCAGCATATGAAAAGTTTGAAATCCCTTTCGGATAAAAAGAAGCGCGTAATGCTGGAGCATGCGCAGTTGGACGACGTACAGTGACAAAATCGCGCCGTTCGGACCACTAGGTTAGCTCTCGCCAACTCACTAGGTACTAGCTGTCTAGCCTACGGGCAGCTCTCTCACGCGGATCTAACAGGGCAATGGCGCAGAAGTCAACCGACGAACTCGTTGAAACGCCAGCATCTGACAGTAACGACGTGGAAAACGGCAGTGAACCAAAACTGAAGAATGTTATCGCTGAAGATTCAGCCATCGTTCATGATGATGTACAGAGCTCTTCGCGGGTAGTCGCTGGTTGCGCAGACCTCACTGAGGCAACAGAATTGTCGATTGTGCTTAAAAAATCATGAAAGAAAAAGAGGAGTTACGGACGGAATTACAGTCTCTGCGTGCTGAGGCTATATACTTCGGCCAAAGAAAGGAAAGAAAAGGACGTCGCATTGTTGACACAAGAAGTCCGGAAGTTGAAAACAAAGCTGTCAATAGAAGAAACAAAATTCACCAATATGCAGTACAAAGACTTCATGAAAAATATAGTAGGGCATTTTGGAAGTGGTTCATTCATATAAAGCACGAAATAAAATTATTACGTGGTTACACGTATGAGATTCACCCTAGTGCGGAAAAACCTATAGGTGCTGCAATTAATAGCACATTATTACGAATTATTGAAACATTATCGTACATACCGTGTTGTGAAGCTTTCTGGTAATGTTTTCATGTGCCCTTCCTTCTTGTCGGCTGCACAATGTGTCCTCGTCACAATTATCTGGGTCGACAATGAACCCCTCCATGTAGTTACGAAAACTAGTGTCCACTCCCTTGACAGATCTGTTATAAGGATAAGCATCGTAAGTGTCTATAGAGACTGCATGTTTCACGTCAGTGGTGCTGGGCCAGTTTGGATTGTCCATCTTGCAGAGAGCAGCCTTTGGACAGCGACGCAGAGCTTCATTAGATGATACAGTTGGATCACAGATGTTGACTGGGGATGACAACAACATCATGTCCTCCCAACAGTAGGTATCCCAGTTGTTGAAGAGGTCTCCCTGAACTACACCTTCCACGTTCTCACCGAGTCTGTCTCGAGTGAAGGGAATTTCTCGCTGGGAGGTTCTCGCTGGGAGGGATCGCTCCACTCCCAGTATGGCAGTCGAAAGGTGTGATCATTCATCTTTATCTGTATCTCCCTCTCCAGCCAGAGTAGGAACAGTCTGTGCCAGGTGGGGAACCCTGTCCCCTCGTGGGCATAGTCAGTAAAATTATCTGTGTCTGCAAAAGGCATCAAAATTACTCATTACTATATATACCTTGCGCCCCTTTTTTTGTGGAATCCGCGCCCCCGGGGAGCGCGCAGGTAAATATAGCTAAGTATATACAGTAGCTACAATTCCGGCTTACACAGTGTAAAATTATTGTCTTTGGCCACTAGGTGATGTATCCAGATGAACAGGTCGTAGGTGTTTGGCCGAACCAAAGAGTCGTTCAGTGCTTGTATATCCTCGGTGAAATTGCTTATCGCCACCATGTAGCGGGAGGGGGTGTCCTTGACGGCTCTCAGGGCGGCGCGGTAATCCGTCCAATCATTTGTGTCCATAGCACCGACTGAAACACGTGGAAGAACGGTTTTAGTTTCGCAGGCTCCTCCATCGTTGTACCCAAAGCTGCACTCTCCGCAGTCGAATCCGCCGTAGTTCCCGTTGCACTTGCAGGTCCTGTCGAAATACTGAATCGGCCACTTCTTCCTGACATCCGTCTCCGAGGGTACGAACTCAGATTCGGAAATGGAGATAGGCTCGCAGGAGCCTCGACTGTGGTTGGCGCCGCACTGCCCTGCACCGGGTTGATCGGGAACTGGGCAGCAGGTACGACTTCCGAGACTCTCTACATTGGCGCATGGAAGCGGAATGATAGCGTTCACCTTTACCGCCAGAAACCCAGCGAAAATTAGTACTGAAAAGAGCATTTTGCAGTGACAATAGCTCACAGTCAAGCAAAAGTGACCAGTGCAAGTCCCAAGCTCGTCGTATTATAGGGGCGGGAGCGTAGTATTCGGCGCCAAAAGGGGCGCGCTCATTATGCAGTTCGCAGCTCCCAAGATTGCGCATGCGTAATCCGCGCATCAAATTAATTATTCGGCGCCAAAACAGGGGCGCGCTCGCACTCGACTCCGCGCGCCGCGCTTTACATTGCGCATGCGTAATCCGCGCATCACGTGCAAGTGCATCTAAGAGAGTCGTCTGCAAGCTTTGAGGTTCTCAGCTTCTCAATCAGGATAGTATAACATCATGATAAAATGTTTATGGGGTTTTTGCATCTCTATCAACGCAACCTTGTGTTAGTATACTTTTATCCATGCAGAAATGCATCAGACAAACGATAATCAGTGTAGTGTAGGCCTGGATGGAGAAAGCCGAGCATCTGTAGCCAAAATTATCGGCAGTCTTGAACATA